TCGAGCACCTCGCCCCGCCGTCCGCGGGGCACCCGGGCACGAACATGTCCGGCGTCACGCAGATGTTCGTCCACAGCAGCGGGGTGTCAAACGCCACGGCGCGCCAGCGCCGGCATGTCCCGGCGTACCGCAGTGGGCGCTTGACGGATGCGGCGTCGAACGGCTGGTACGTGCACATGTCGCCGCCCTCCTGCTCCGGGTCCGGCACCGTCGCGGGGCGGGGCTCGGCGTCTGGGGCGTGCGTTGCGAGGGTGAGGATGTAGGCGAGCAGCTCAGTAGGGAGGGCGTCGATGGGCGGGCGGCGGCGCGGCGCGTCTGGGGAGGGTGGGGTCATGGTGAGATGCGTGGGTGTGCGGGTAAGCAAGGCCGGGAAAGAGCAGGAGGGGGGTCGTTAAGTAGATCACATCCTCTTTGTGTCTCCCGCCAGAAGAACCCTGGCCCCGGGATGTATCTACGAGACAAAAGAGATTGATGATGATGAGGCAACAGTCATTTCCCGTTTTGGTGTGTGATCGGCGCTCGTTTATTGTGTTTGCCAAGGGAGGTAAGCTGAAAGAATTCGGCGCCAGCTTACTTATCTGGCAGTTGCATTGGTTACCGAGCAGCTGGTCTCCCAGAATATTCTACGACGACTGGGAAATTCTCCACTGGCCTACGCAGACGACTCATCGGCGGCCCAGGAAGTATGCATCCATGTTTTCCCAAAAAGGGTGACTGCAGCCCGCTGTCTGGCAGGTATACAAATGGGGAAGCCTCTTTGTCTCGCCTAAAGCGGTATATCCCCAAAAGGCATATTGGTGTCGGATTAGGCAAGGTCTTTGTGCGCCGTCTGATGCGCATGCGCACGCCTGAGCGTGTGCCTGATATTCGGAAATTCTCCACCGTGAACGACAGACAGCAAAACAATGAGCGATAATCAACAGGATGCTTTACATTCCAAATAGTAGTAGTAGATACATGCGCGCGCGATAAGTAAACCAGAAGACAGAATGATCAAGGTGAAGTGAGCCCCATCTTGAATCCCGCAGCACCAAATGCCCCATCAAACTCGTCCGCTGGGAACATCTGACTCCCATCCGTGGGTGAGCTGTCTGTAAACATGGCCAACACATCCGCCAACATCCGCGGGTCTGTGTCCACCGACAGCGCGAGCGGATCGACAGAGAGAGAGGAGACGTAGTCGGCGTCGAACGCCTGCACAGAGACGCGGTCTGCATCCGGGCTCGAGCCTTCAGAGCTTCTCGACGTAATGGCGTTCATGGCCACCGACTTTTTGCGCACGGGCCGCACCCAAGGGGGCCGCGCGTTAGGGTTCCCGTTCGTTTCGGGTGGCTCTCCCAGCGGAATCTGGGTCACTGAGGAAGAAACATGAGAAACCAGGCAACCGGATGAGATGTCGATGTCACGCACGTCGGCAGAACTCTTCCATCAAATCCCCCGACCGCTGGCCACATACATAGCGACCACTGAACCGGCGAAGCAACAGCACACATGATCGCACGCCATCGAGACCAGGCTGTATCAACGGTTGCAGCGGTTCTGTTTGACAGTTGAGCAGGATCGCAACCAAAGTGCGACCAGCCTGAGTCAGTTGGTGAATCACGTGTACACCATCTATGGGAGGGGTTAGATGGACCATCAGGCACGAGAAAGCCGCCTACAGTACGTCATCAGCCCTCGCTTGGCGATCAGAACATGGGACGTGACGATCTGCAGCGCAGCGTAATGCGCCTTGACCATCGCATCCTGCTCGGCCTGGCTTTGCGGTGGCCGCGCAATCGGATCCATCGGCGCCGTGCGTTCGGCCACCAACTCCGAGAATCGATGTCGGTAGATCAGCAGCCGCACGAACTGCTCTGCACAGTGAAGCCGCACCGCCTGGGTGACGCGGATGGTGTCCTCGCTGGCCAGCGTCTCGGTGGAGTGCGCGAAATGCGGCGGGATGCTGTGGTGGATCTCGTCCAGCAGCGTCTCCTCGTCGCGGAGCTCGCGCCGCGGCCGCGGGTTGCTCAGCACGGAAGCAGCTCTCAGAAGGAAAGACCCGCCAGCTGTGTCTCTCGCTGGTGGGATGTCCAGTACGCTCTCGAGCACAACCAGGATCCGCAACGCGACCACGAACGCGGCCATCCGGCAGTGCGCGCCGGGAGGCAAACCGGCGGGCGCACCGACGCCTTCCGGCGTGATGTACTCATCGTCCACAGGCGCGGGCTCGCCGACATCACAGTCGCGCAGTCGGAGCATCGGGGGCCGGCCAAAGTGGGCAGAAAGCTGCTTGTCCCATATGTACACACACCAGAACGTGCGCTTCCGGACTTCCTCCTCGATCGCATCGAATAGATCGTACGTGTCCGCGCTCCGATGCAGACCCGCGTCGATGGACATCGTGATCGCCTCTGACAGCAGCGCAGCCGCCTTCGTCAGTTTCCCCAGCCCGACAGCATATACAGCAGCGATGAGATTGGCCTGGATGGTGTATAAAGTAGGGCGATCCGCTATCGGCATCATCCGAAGCCGTTCGAACAGTTCGAACCACTGTGTTCCAGCCGAAACACCGTCTTTGGGAGAAGACCTCACACGGGGGTCATCCATGTGCCGTGAGGCTAGGCAGCAGATCGCCACAATGAACATCGGGAAGCCCGGCTCTCCCCACTTCTGAGGATTGCTGTAGTCCTGCACGAGGCGATCAGCTCACATGACGCGCAGCTGTGGGTCAAAAAACGCACGCCGAGAAATGTCGGGACATGCAAGAAAGGGAGGATGTAGGAGGATGTAGACAGGAAGCACTGGACGAGACTGCGAAGCACACTCAGTGAGATTCAAGCGGCGACATGGCACCCACTTGTCCATCAGCTCTGGGGGAATGTATGAAGTTATTAGTCTCCACGTCGTCTCTGGATTCACATCCATGCGGCGAGCCGTTCGATTAGGGAACCAATCCTGCTCAGCCGGGACGCTGGGTGGTGTGTCTGCCGTCGACGGCACATGTCGCTCGACCAATAGATCCAGCAGCGGCAAGCCCGATGCCTCGCCCTGCCACCGAGTAAACCCCTCGTCGTCGAAATACAGGTAGGATGCGGATAGCGTCAGCCGAGAAGTGTCTTCCGCGAGCTGATCGCCCATCTCGGACGAGCACGAACCCGCACGTTCTTCCTGCTTAGATTCCCGGGGCATAAAGTGTGTCGATGGATTCGTGAGGGGGTAGTTGTGTAGCGAAGGCGGTGGTACGCCCAGCGGCAGCGTGAATGCAGTGTACGGCGCCACGGGGCTCGCAGGGGCGCCCATGCCCATCCCCGATCCGCCTGGCGCCGCACCACCGATGGTCGCTGCGAAGACGGCTGGGGGGATCGCCTGCACGAGCGTCTCGAGCTGGTGCATGCGGTCCTCGAGCGTTGCGGTGCGCTTCGACTTGTGCGGGTGCGTGCGTTTGCCCTGCTCCTCGAATGTGCACGCCGAGTTCGCTGCGAGGCAGGCCTGGCACGGGTGACCCTCGTCGCATTTGATGCGCCGGCGTCTGTGCGTGCGCGTGAGCCGGGACTCGCAGCGCGGCGCGGGGAGCTTACCGACATCGGTCGCATGCCCTGCCCAGCTCGTCTCAATTATGTAAATCCGCCGCACAAGGCACGACGCACCTGCTCAGCTTGAACCTCCGCTCCTTTAAGAGTGCGGCCGAGTCCGGTGTCGTGTCCGGTGGCATTCCGCTTGGAGAACTGCAATGGCGAAGAGGGCAAGAAACGGAGAGGATCTCAATTCACCGAGTCAATGACATCTGCATCACTTGACCACGAGGCAGTGGATATGATACGGTCGGTCAACCTGATCCGTCCCCCCCCTGTGCACCAGCGCGCAGTCGCGCAGCAGGAGAGCGAGCCTCGAGTGCCCAAAAAGTCCAGACGGACAGCTGCACCCAAGACACACAGACGCTTCATGCGGCTGGGCAGTATCTGGGACCATCTTCCGCCTCACTTCCTAATTGATCCGGCCAATCACCTTCAAGAGCTCCAACAGGACCGAACCCAGGCCGCCGCGTCCCACAACGAGCGAGCAAGCCAGACAAAGCCCAAGGCGAGGGAAGAAGGGAGTGACAGCGGACTCAGGGCCAGATATATAGCAAGCATCCCGTCTGGTCTGCCATCGACGCCCAGCCGCGCCCATCCGCTTCCGCTGCTCTCTCCGCCGCTATCACCTACCGACGTCACACCTACCGCTTACGGGGCTCCGTGTTATTTCATTTTCCCACTGTCACACGCCGACGGAGCGCATCATAAACCTTGATCAAAGATCAATCAAACAGGCTTGTGACACGATCTGCGTCACAAACTCTCCGCCTCCCCACACTTTCCCCACGACTATAGTCTATAATCCCTGATCAATGGAACTCAAATCGAGCAAACGCCTGGTCACTTATGAGATCCGAAAGTCGAACACGAAAAATATCACTTGGAATGTCGTAGAGTTCTCAGCGTGCGGCGCCCGTACAAGCAACGGCCGCCGCGATCGAGTTCATATTCTCGAAGGTTTGGTGCAAGCAGGCTGTCGAAATCGACACACAAATGCTACTTCATTGCCTCCACTTCGGCAGTTCTCGAGTACCCGGGCCACAAGAGACTCATCGCCAGAATACCTGTCCCACTTCTTGCGTCCGGCTCGCCGATCATTGTCGTTCACGAGCCCCGGCATCACTCACTCACAGACCGACGCGCCCGAACGCGTGTCTCTCGCGCATCTGGACACTTTTGCGTGCTCCCTCTCACGTGTGGTGATCTACGACACGGTGACGGTGCTGATTCAGCTCGCGGCATGGCAGGTGTTGTGGGACGGCAGGGGTAGCGCATGGAGGGGGCAGTAGGTGCGCAAGTCAGTCCATCCCAACGTTGATTCAGTCCAAATTCCCGTCTCCATTTGGGAAACTCGGAATGATCGCTCGTGTGCTGAGACTCGACCAAAGTCCCGCACTCTCCGCGCTCCGCAAATGCAGAATCGGGAGTGAGACATTTCTTCCGCGAGACTATAAAAACTCCCGTTATCAAGCGTGGAAGAGCAGGCCTCTCCGCCTCCTTCTCTGTGCTCTTCCTCCTCTCATGGCCAGTCTCCGCCCTTCATGTGCAGGACGACGCATGAGCTCTGGATGGTTGGCACTGGAGGTAGGAGGTGGACCCTGTCGATTACTGGTAAGCTCCATCTTTCTCATCGTGTCGCACAGCGCGCTAACAACCCCACATGCTCCGTTTGCTCTCAGACGAGCACGCCGGCAGTCGGACGAATGGGGGTCGTTTACCAAACTCCCGTGTCATTCTGCTTGGCCGTGCCTCGTCTGCGATGTGTCTCGCGCTACGTACGGCGTATGGTTTCGGGATCCAGTGTTTGTTGATTGGGCGCTACGGCGTTACTTTACTCGGCGTTGCGGTGCTCGTTGCTGATCTGGCGCCTGGGTTCATGTAAAAAGGACCCGGCCTGCGGCTCGAGTCTCCGTCCGGCGTGTCTCCCGTCATCGGTCGAGCCGCTGAGAAGTCGTTTCTGTGTCGTTGGGCGCTACGGCGTTTCCTCTGTTTGGCGTTGCGGTGCTCGTCGCTGATCTGGCGCCTGGGTCCATGTAACAAGGATCCGGCCTGCGGCACGAGTCTCCGAGGCGTGTCTCCCGTCACCGGTCGAGCCGCTGAAAAGTCTTTTCCGTGTTTCTGCACGATGAATCCGCTCCGGCGGTGTGTGAGAGCTGGTCTCGAGCATTTCTTGTACCCACCCCCAAGTCAGGGATTCCATGAACCCGCTTGGCCCCTCTTGAAAAAGGATCTTCATGGTCCAGCGTCTGGCCTCTCCGTGGCTCAAGAGACTAGTACCCGAAAGGGGAAGCTAACAGACGTGTAGTGTAGAAGATATGTAAATGCTGGGATGTTTTACAATACAATTCATGCTCCTCATACAAACGCGGAGCAGCAGGACTACACCGGCAAGCTAAGTAAGCTAACCACCGCCATCACCGTCACTCCCATCATCATCTCCCCGCCTATTCCTCTCGCACTCGCTCCTCCCTTCTGATCCTGAGACAGTATGTGACTCAGTCCCGTGCCCGCACCTCCAACCTGCGGCAGCGGATCCGCCACAACCGTCGTCGAGGCACCCATGGTCGGATTCGCGAGGAGCGAGCGCACGACCGTCGCATCCGGGAGAACAAGCGTCACCTCGTCGTCAGCTTCTTGCGTCTGCGTCTGTGTGTTCGTTGCGTCCACGGTCTGAGCGGTCTCGACTGCGGTCTGCGTGGCCGGGCCGCCGTCAGCCGACACGCTGCTAACCGCGTCCGGGTTCGCGTCGATCGTGAAGTCCGCGGTCCACATTCGGAGGGGCGGGTCATCGCATTTGAACGTGATCGCGCTGTGGGGCACGGAAATGGGCGTGTCGCGCAACTTGCCATGATGGGAGGACGTACAAAGTTCCAGACGACAGCGTGTTGGGGATGTGCACGACTCTGTGCAGGACAGCCGGATCCACGCCCTGAGCGAGATTGTGCAGCACGGTCTGTCTACGGGTGAGCTTCCGACTCGCGCGTTTCCAAGTGCGAAACGCGTACCCCGTTCGGTGTGCACAGATCGATCCTGACCGCGTTCATCTCAGAGATCAAGGGGTGCTTGTCGTTGTCCTTCCATCTGAGCGTCGCGTTCTTCCCCGGGGCGAGTCGCGAGTTGGCAACAGGAAATGTCGGGTAGATATAGGCCCGAGCGAAATCGAATAGTAGAGCAGATATTGCAAAATGTAGAAGAGGGTATAGGAACATCGCTGGGTCCTGCGCTAGGCGATGAGGTTGGAGAACGAAGGCGGGCCAGAGGGATAAGAAAGGGATAGACGACTGTGGACTGGCAACGGGAGGGAAGATTATTCGCGGTAACGTGATCTGTTGCACGACTTGTTGTTACACTACAGATTACAGACAGATACACACTATACGGGGTAGTCGTCCATTCAATGATCAGGGGGTTGAAGCACGTGCATTCTAGCGTGGATGACGAGGTCCTTGAGGGGAGCGTCAGCAGCCACTCACTAGCACATGCGGACAACGAGCTCACCTCTCTTGAGGTGCAGAACACCGGGCAAGCTAGTTCCGATCCTTCTATTCGCCACGCACATCGATATACCTGACTCCTTCCATCCAGGACTACTGCCTGTGATTTGAGCTCGGCGATTTGTTCGTGTAGCATTTGCAGTTCGTCGATCTTGGCGCGCAGATCCTCGTCCTGAGCGTCCAGGCGGTCCTGATACACTTCGTTGTCAAAGACCAGCTTCTCGTACCGTCGGTGGAGCTCCGGGTATTCAGCGGCCCGCCTCCTGAGACCGTCGTCGTTCGTTCGGATGGCTTGTTGCCGGAGGAAATCAGCCTGATTACGCCAGCTGTTGGCGTCCGTCTGGAGCTGTTCGATCCGTTTCTCGAAAGTCGCCCTGACCAAAGCGACACCCTGAGTCTTGGCACTCTCTGCCATCGTCAGCTGCTCCTGTAGTGCTTTGTTCTCCTTCGACTTTTCGCTGCCGAACTCGGATGCTTTCCCATAGTACTCGCGGAACAGTTCGACCTGCTTTTCGGCATCGGCTAGCTTGCTCTGTAGAGTGTCCCGCTCGGCGATCGCCGCGTCCTTGAGCTGGCGTTCTGCAATCAAGGATTCGTCGGCCGCATCTGTGACGACTACGCGAGGGTCCTGATCAAGTTGTGATTGCAGAAATTGAATCTCCTGTTCGAGATTGTGGTTCTTCGCTCGCTGGGCTACCAGAGCTAATCGTTCATGGCTCAGTTCAGCCTCGAGTTGCTTGCATTCATCAGATTTGTGGTTCAACAAAGTCATCATGGCATCTGGATCAAGAACGACCGCCTGAAATCGCCATTACAATTCGACTAGCAGAAGAAAGTGGAGGGCGTACCGGATGGCTCGATTTGAGATCTCCACCTCCTTCGCGAGTGGAGGCAGTCGGTGGAAGCTCATAGCTCTCATTGGAAGGATGTACAAAGGGGGATCGAGTCCGTGCCGTCCTGCCGTTAATGACGGGGGCAGCCTCGTCGTCGTCGTTGCTGGGGTAGGCCTGGTTAGAATTATCAGTCGACGGAAATCGGATTTGAAGCCGAAAGTACCAGTTCGCCAAGTTCATCGGGCGCTCCTCCTTCATCCTCTGCATCAGCAGGGTATTTCTTCGGGTCATTGACCAACAGTTCCTCCACTGAATCTGACCACTCACCAACTCTATCGATTCCTCCGCCGGCTCCAGTCGATCGGACGTATTTCGCTGCGAAGCCTGTTCGATGTTCCAAGCGGACTTTTCTGCCGCGTCGAGATCGACCGATGGCTCTATCTCCGTCTCGTGCTCCGAGAACTGAGCCTCGAGCTGGACTTCGGGCTCTGAAAGTTGTTCCTGGACGTCCTCCATATCACTTGCACCTTTCTCCTCTTCCTCTTCTTGTCGCAGTCCGAGTCGTTCATTGAGCAAGTCCTGGGTGTTCTCCTCTTCCTCCTCCCGCATAGCAAACCGAGTCGCGGGAGAAAACTCGGTCTTCCTGACAATCGACTCCATACCATCGGCCTCGGTAACGCTCTGACTCGTCGCCGCTTGGGTCTGCGATTCCGGGTTTTGCCAAACGCGAGGCGCGTCGAACATCCGATACGCCGCTGCCTCCTGACGACGCTCCTTATAAGCCTTCGCTGCCAGCTCAACACCGCGAGCGACGACGACGTCGTGATTGATCGCAACCCCCTGCTCCTCGCGCGCTTCCGAGCCTCTTCGTATGGGGATCCTGATCAACTCTTCTGCCTTCGATGAACGTCGTTTCAACTTCTTCACCGCATGCGCGTCTGGTTTGATGGGCGAGCTGAACTGTTCGATGCTACTCATCGGGGTATCCAGATCGTCCCCTTCATTAGCATACATCCCATTCTGACCAGCACGGGCAACGAATCGGGACGCAGTCATCATAGGAATCGGAGCTAGGCCCTCATCAGGTGAGCGCCTCCTTGTTTGGCCAGCCGTAGACTCTTTCGGCGGACGTTTCGGCGCAGATAGCGGCGAAGGCGACGCGGATTGAGTTTCCGGGATATCTCCCGAGCGATACGACTGGTCAATTACGCGATGTGAGGAGGAAGCCCGAGGACGTGACGGCGACTGATATTCGCCTTCGTAATCGGATACCACTGGTGATTTCGCTCGACGAACGGGAATGGAAGACAGGGACGGCGCCTTTGCGGGTGAGCGCTGCGGGGACAACAAATTGTCGTCGCTGTCGTCATCCGAGGCTGCCAGAAATAGCGGTTGGCTTTTCTGCGTCTGTGCTGGCTGCATCATATCGAGGTCGAATTGCGCTAGCCGCTCTATTCCCCCTGGAGAGAGCGCCTGCGAGTCGAGCTGCAGCTCTTCTGGTCCATGCGCGTGCTCTGGCTCGAGTGCAGAGATATCTCCAGACTCCTCTTCCTCCTCGACCTTCGAGTCCAGAAGGACTGGACTTCGTTTCTCTCTGCTCTTGGATCGGCTGCCGACCGAAGAGAGAGGAGCAGGGTCGGGCTGGGGTTGAACCTCCTGATCGTCAACCAACCGAGGCCGCTTGCGAGGAAGAGGCCGACTGGATGCTGGCTCTGGCCGCTGCTCCTCCTCTTCCTCTTCCTCTTCTTCAGGAACAGGCTGTGAACGTCGACGCTTCTTTCCGAGAGTTGAAGTAGTCGAGATGGCTCCGTGGACATCTTCCCGGTGACCATCGCCAGTAAGTGCACTAGTGTGCGAGGAGAAACGGGTCGAGCGTTGTGCGCGGGGTGTAGTACTTGTTGATGCACGACGCGCACGAGCAGTGGACGCTTTCGATGTAGCGCGCGCAGCCTTCTCAGCTTTCGTCAGTTAGAAGGGAGGAGACCAGCTTCGTGCTACCACAAGCGCACCTTTCTTCTCGCGCAGCAGAGCCTTCTTCTTCTTCCAGGTCGATACCAGTTGATTCGTCACATCTTGTTTCGGCACCCAATCATCTGGCCAGGGCTTGCCTCTACTGTCCACGCCTGCCCACTTGACCAAGTACTTCGACTTGCTCTCCTTCAAGATCTCGATAACCTCATAGAGCTTCTCATCATCGCTCGAATGCGGAGAGAAGCGCCCTTCTTCGTCCGATTGCGATTGTGATTGCGACATGGGAAGGGACTGCAGTTCGGAGGGTCGGATGAGCAAAGTTTGAAGACACGCTTCCTAGTCGCGTCTGAGGGCTGAAGAAATGGTTTATGTGATCGGAAGTGTAGCAGACATGGAGGAGCGCGTCGAAATGAATTCCAACTCCGCCGTTGTTGACCAGCCACAGCCACAGATTTGACACCGGCCGACACCCGTTGATCATGTGAGCCTGATGCACTGATGGGACATGTGCCACCTTGCCGTCACCGTGCCAGCCTCCGACTCAGCAGTCGGCGCTTTCTGAGCTGCTCTCTTGCGTGAGTCACAGCAGCGCGAGACAAAAAGTGTTCAGTCTCAAACTTTCATTACTTTCGACCCTCCTCCGTCACGCTGTGCTTCGGATTGGCTTGTGGTTCGGTCAACACATCTGCAGGTGGTCGATACCACATTTCCGCCATCCTATACATGGGATTGACCTCTTCACTGGTCGACGGCCGTCCTATGATCGCGCTCTTTGACACGGCTGGTTCCCAACTCTCAACACATGTCAGTCTTACGCGCCGCGAGTTCTACGAGGTTACTAGTCCCTACTCACCTCTCGTTGATCGCCCTCCTCCATTCACATTTCGTACAATACCACACTGCCTGCTTTTTGAGAGGTAGGAACCTGGCGAATGTCGTCTGCGATGTCGCCGTCGTTACCGAGCCTGGGCTCCCTCATTGCCACCGCGCAAAAGTTCAGGGTGCGGGCTCACCTGTCCGCTGGCATTGTGGGCAAATCCTCGCGGAATGTTGCGCTCTGTCTTTGGCCGAGAACTCGAAAGTCTCCGCGACGAGGGGCTTTTCTGTGCGTGGCGCTCGTTATCATCCGCCTGGAGTGAAATCATAGCCATTAAGCTCTCACTTTGAGACATGCCACTGGCGGCGAATAAGGATCTCGACTGCCCGTTCCACCTGTCAGAGCTGGTTCCTCACCGTCCCACGCTTGTCCACAGATGCTGGGAATAGGTGAATGTCGGGTACTGTCAGCGCGTCGAAGGCTGCGAGTCCCAAAGTGCCCGCCAAGACTGCCCCTCAGCTCTTCTTACGGCTCAAGACTTCATCTTCAACTTGAATGAGAGTCACGCGTTATTTTCTATTTGGAAACAACGCACTTATGGAAGTAACGGAGAAATATCGAACAAATCGATTCGGGCAGAATTTGAGATATAAAAATACCATCTGTAAACTTCTCCAGGCATTCGTGTGCCAGTTCATCACGGTCAACAGCATGCTACTCGATGCCATCAGCTGTTCAGTGAGCTAGCTGGTTGAGGATTGGCGGAACGTAATATTCTTCCTGCACTGAAGATGCGATTTCCGATTCAGAAGTGTAAGAAAGAGACGACTCCTCCATTTATTCCGCGGTAGTTGACTTACAAGGGCATGTAGCACTCGAAAGAGCTCGATCTAAGAAGCGTATCACCACGTGACTTTTACAAGACATGATATTCATATTGAACTTCAACCAGGCGAGGTCGCCCGTATGCTGATTCCCTGGCAATTACCCGGACGATCGATAGCATAATCCCGAAGCTCAGGCCGACCAGCAGGCCCACTGTGCTCGCTCAGCGCACGCTCCTCAGTCATGTCGTTGCGTGGGCGTGATTTCGTTATCTTACACATCATCCGCATAATTCGTTCATCCATCTCGTCGGGTCCCATAAAGACGGGCGGGGGATGGGCTCACCTCCCATCCCGCTCATCCCAACCTAGCCTACAATGTCTACCGCCTTCCTCGCCGCTGTCGCTGCCCGCCGCAGCCGCTACGCGCTCTCGCCCAAGTCCTCCATCCCGGACGAAAAACTCGAGGGCATCATCAAGAGCGCCCTGCTGAACGCGCCCTCGTCCTTCAACTCGCAGTCCGCGCGCGCAGTCCTCGTTCTCGGAGAAAAGAACCAGAAGCTCTGGTCGCTGGTGCGCGAATCGGCTGTCGCCGGTCTTGATGGTCTGCTGCTTCGTGCTTGACGTTTGGCCTGCATACATTGATGCTGTTTCCCTAGGCGACCGCAAAGACGCAGCGGAGAAACGAATCGACGGCTTCACGAACAGCTACGGGTCTGTCCTGTTCTGGGAGGACCAGGCCGTCGTCGACGGGCTGATCGCCAAGATACCTGCGTACGGAGCCATTCGCCCCACCCACGTTCGCTCTGCTGATCTCGGAGTCTTTTTTCTTATGAACAGATACGCCACGCAGTTCCCGGTGTGGAGCCAGAACGGGGCGGGCATCCTGCAGTACATCGTGTGGACCGCTCTGGACGCGGAGGGACTCGGCGCCTCGCTGCAGCACTACGGAGCGAATCCCGCCCTCGCGAGCGCCATCAGAGCCGAGTTCGGTCTCCCGGAGACATGGACGTCGAGTGCCATCATGCCGTTTGGTGTTCCTGCTGCCGATGCCGCCGCGAAGAGTTTCGCGCCGATCGAGGACCGATTCAAAGTCTTCAAGGATTAAGGGAGGACGACCAATGACCTTGCAGAGTGCCATCGTAGATATCGCCATGATTTGGTCAAAGTAGAGGCTTGCGCTTATCAAGATCTAGGATAGAAAACTTCGGGTATATCATCATCTGTACAAGTACAACTCATGTCACTTACACCGGTCCTGCAATGGATGTCGCAGTTGAAGACTGCTCGCCAGGGACAAGTCTAGCTCCTCGTGATTATCAACCATCCCCTCGATTTCCCTTTCGCTCCAGACATCAGTCTCGTACACGAGAACTTGCGTCTTCATCGTCCGTATCGGCCTTAAAGACACTGCCCGGTTGCGGGCGTGTTTTCACTCGACGTCGCTGACAGGGATCGAGTGGTCTTCTGCGGCTTGTTTGAGCGCAACTGTAGCCTTCCCAATACTCTGGCCTGCTTTGCGCATGCGAACACGTCTACTGGGTGACCCATTAGCGCACGCAGCCATTACCACATGAGAAATGCGATATGCGTCATTCCGGGGGCTGTGGTAAAGAGTGCGAATGCAGTCTCAAATTGAGATTCGGGGGCAAGTCGTCTGACGCTGGATCGTCTTATGATGGAATAATTTGCTCGAGGGGGTGGATGATAAAAGATCGAAGCGGAGCCGAAAACGCAAGACACGAGACCAAGGACGGATGGGTATGCTGTCCTACGATTCAATCCGGAATAGAATTGTCGGCTATTCAGCAGAGTTCGAGGTCACAAGAGTGTGGAGACGAGCATTCCGGTCAGTTAGAATGGAAGGTTTGGCGAAGGACTCCTCCATCAAGCAAAGAGATGATCTGCAGCGCCAAGTTGCCGGCCAAGCCTGACTGGTCTCGAAAGGAAAGACTTGGAAATCCAGGCAGTGCTGCCTCTGATCCCGGGGAAGCCAAGATGGATATCTGGTCCATGGTCCATTTTTGACGTTATCCGTCTAAACCTTGAGATAGGGTATCTGTGTGGCAATCAAGCATTGGTACAGTATGTATATCGCGTTGGTCCGGGTTTCGATGAGCGTCGACGTCATAGGACAAATGATCACGTGGGTCTGAAGATGCTTGCGTGACCTGGATTGGCTTTGTCTCAGCGCACAGTTGGTCACTGGCCAGTCGAAATTTCGGGCCCCAGATTCGAACATCCCATCCCTGGATCAGCGTCTCGAGGCCGAGAGCCATTGCCGAGCAGGAACCCGACCCCGGATGCGGACACTGCCATCACGACGCGTCGCGATAGTATCGCGTCGCTGCCTGCACAGAAGGCCCCTCTTCCCCAGCCCCTCGTCCTCCTCTCTACACCCATGAGGTTTAGCACGGTTCTGCCTTCCAGATGGCCCCGACTTCTCTCTCTTCTCCTCGCGTGGGTACGGGCCTAGGTGTCCATGGCATTCGGTACGTCCGAGAGTTCGGCCTGGCTCTCCTCGCCTATTAAAAGCCAGGAATCAACGCGTTTGGCCATGTGGACAAGAGAAAACCCGTTCTGTTCCACAAGATCCCCGCTTCGACGCTCGTTCGTGTCGATTCAAGCGGTGAGCTTCGTCGTCGCGGCTCCTCCGTCCGACGTTACGCATGAGCTGCTGATGGGGGTCAGCAGATATATCCTCTGTCGGTGCCGTAGTCGCAACTGTATCCGCGCTCATTCTAATTCTATCGGCATGCACCGCTTCCCTGGTGCTTCTCACCCTTGAGTCTCTGCGGCGCACCAGGACCGGGTGGCATACCCGGACCCTCCCCGCACAATCGGCTTCGCTCGCGTTTCTTAGCTTGTGGTCATTTCCAGCGCAGATCCCGGCTTCTATTTTCGTGGCGTCGCGCGTCACGGGCCGCGCGAGTCTCGCTTGTTCTCGATGGAGTGCGAGTTCCGAGCAGTGTCATGCCGAGGAGATTCGAGCGAGGCGGTTGATAGTGCGACGAACGCTCGCAAGGACTTCTGCTACTGTGGGTTCAGTGCCGCTTCAGATTGGATCCTCGCTCCGAATCATCGTACTTACCGTACTAGTGACGCTGCCAAGGACTTCCACTACTGTGGGCTTGGTGCCGCTTTGGATTGGATTTTCGCTCCGAATCATTGTGCCCACCGCACCAGCGGCGTTGCTGGCCGTTCTACCGTGGTTTATGTTCCCGCTTGCCCTGTTCGCCGCCGCCGTCGCATTTGCCACCCAGAAGGGGAACCCCGACGAGCCCAGAGTGCCACTCGTCCCCGTCGAGAAGGCTCCACCCCTTTACCCGGCGAAGACGTGTAATGTATCAAGCACATGTGAAAGGGCACCTTAGGCTTCTTGGCTGTCAGATTCCGGACCCTTGCATTTGTGCAGTCCTAGTCACATATGTGCCCGCGAAAACGTTCTGATGACTTCGGCCGACCTGAGCAAAGAGCCAAGGATGAGCCGACGGAGTACCGCATTATCTTATCTTATCTCCTACAATCATGTCCAGATCGGGATGCAAGGATTTAAAACGGCCCGCCCCCGTGGGGTGCGCTCGTGTGCTACAGGGAAATCGATCCAAAAATGCACACGTGGAAGGCTGATTTGAGGGGCCGGAACTGTCGAATAGTGCTAGGGAACGAGTGCAAGGAGGCTTTTGGCGGCGGTGCCGGGGAGTGCGGACGTTCTCTAGCTTCGAATGCGCGAGAGAGTCTCCCATCTATCACAGCGACCTTCCAGAAACGCGTCCCTCACGTGCTCTAGAAGGAAACCGGAGATCTTTAGTCCCGATAGTAGCACTCTTGATCTAATCTAAGCATTCGCAAGTGGCCCATTGCTTCTAGTGCCTGTCAAACTGGCTCTGTACAAAAGCGCATGTATTGAGTGGGTGCTTCGTGCCTATACCTGATCCCAGCCATGAGCGCAGCAGCACTTCTCTCCACGACCGAGCGAGCTCAGTTCAGGGCCCCGACGCTGCAGCAGCCTGCGAACCTCACGGGGATCCTCAAGAGCGGCAAGATCGCCGTGGGCTCCGTCCTGAGCTATCCGAGCGTGCACATCGCCAAGACCGTCGCCGCATGCGGCGCGGACTGGTGCTGGATTGTGAGGCCGACGCTCTGTGTGCTGTTTTAGACCGGATGATTGACGCGCTGGCAGGACACCGAACACGTCGCGTGGTCGCCCACCCTACTCATAGAGTGCATCCAGATCATCAACCAGGAAAGCGGGGGCAGCATGGTGCCCATCGTCCGTGTACCGAACAAGAAGGCTTTCGACTATATGGTGCGGCCCACGCGCTCATCATCGCTCCCATCATGACTGAACTTCGGTTCCGGACTGTGCAGGCATGGTGCCTGGACGCCGGCGCAGGCGGAGTCATCCTGCCCCACCTCGAGACGGTGGAGGAGATGCAAGCTGCGGTGGACGCATGTCGGTTCCCGTGAGTGCATCATTGAACCCCGTCCGTGGTACACGGGGCATAGAGAGTCTCCATATCGATGCACCCCTCCGCAGGCCTGTGGGACACAGATCGTTCCCCCCCTTCTCCTTCGTAAGTGCTACTTCCCCGCAGCGCGCACGCGCGCTATCCGCTATCCCTATCCAACCCTGGCTGATGATCATATCGCGGGTGTGCAGATCCCCGGCGTCACAGACACCACGCCGGCAGGCGACTCGATCTTCACGCTCGCGAACAAGCATGTGGCCATCATCCCGCAGATCGAGACGCGTCTTGGTTTCGAGAACCTGGACGCGATCGCTAGCATGGAGCAGGTCCCTTGCTTCATGGTCGGAGGTGCGTGGGGCGCAGCAGTCAGATCGATACTGTCTTGGTGTTAATCATCTGCGAACCCAGTCGCTGACATGCGCATGGAGCTCGGCCTCTCGCCTGCGCTCCCGATGGCCACAGAGCCCGAATGGGTCAAGATCATGGAGCACGCGTCCGCCATGGCCAAGAAACACGACATCCCTATGCTGGGTCTGGCGCTGGGCGAGGAGATGATCAAGGGCCGCATCGCCCAGGGCTTCAAGCTCATCGCGTCGGCTGCCGACTTCCCCGTCCTCGCGGGGGGCCTGTGCGGTGCGGTTGTGGAGGCGCGAGCTTTCGTCGAGAGCATGTGACACCACTCCGTCGTCGAAATCTGATCAGACGAAGTCACACATATGTTGTATAAATGTACCCGTAAGTACTTATGTATATAGATTGCGATTTCATAACCGTAGAAGTTGCTGTTGTTCAATCGAAGAAGACGCCTCCGTTGATGGAAATCTGACAGAGCAATCAGAGCGAGCGTACCGGCTGAATAAACAGTTCTGACGCTCTGGCCTGTGATGAAGCCCGACTCTTTCGAGGCAAGAAACGACACAAGATCTGCAATGTCTTTCGGAACTCTGCGCAGAACCCGTGAGCGCGCTTTGTTTGGAACAGGGAGGATGGAAGTCAGATACCCATATTGAGCCAATGCTCCACTATTCTTCACCTTGATAGATCGATAAAATAAGTATGAGATCGTCTTAACCGGATATAGACCTACTCTCTCCGAATAGCTGGTCCCCATAACCTGCGCACTGGACGCGTTGACGGCAGCCACTTCAAGAATTGATCAAATCGAACGAAATGTCGGGTGTCCAAACTTACTCATCTCCGTGTCAACAGCTCCCGGGGCGTAGGTATTAACGGTGATCCCGTGAGCCCCAAATTCTAGAGCTGATCATGATTGAGAGAGGCCAATGGCCTTTCATCCACAAAACATACCAGCAGCCTGCGTCAGCCCGCGTATGGCGAACTTGGACGCTGAGTAAGGCCCCATTAAGCTAGAACCGGCTGCCATTCCAATGAGCATAGATTGCTCTGGAGTTTGAATCTGTCAAAAATCTGACTGACCTCTCTTGCCGGCGACCGAACAAGCGCCTATAATTCGTCCGCCCCGTCCCTGCTGGACCATCTGTAGCCCTGCGTACTTGTAGCACAGAAATGCGCCTCGCGCATTGACTGCCATGATCGTGTCCCACTCCTCGACAGTTACTGTCGAGAAATGAGTGCTCAAGCAACTGACGGACCCAGATCAGAAACATAACGCGAACCTTGAGAGAACAGGATCGCTTTACAGATGCCCGCGTTCGCCACCATCTAGGCACGAGTCTCAGTTAATCATCTCTGCACCAAAGCCCACGACTGTCGCACGCACCACATCGAGTCCCCCGTACTCCTGCACGACCTGCTCGACCATCGCCTTCACCTCCGCGTCCGCCGACACATCCGCCGCGTACGCGGACGCCGGGCGGCCGGTCGCCCGGATCTCCTCGACGACGCGCGCGAGCTTGTCCGCCTTCGCAGGGACGTCGTTCACGGCCACGGCGAATCCGTCGCGGGCCAGGCGCAGCGCGATCTCGCGTCCGATACCCTGGGCTGCGGGGCCATCGCAGATGCATGTATCAGAGACGGGCTGCTGGGGGAGAGCGGGACGGAGGAGATGCGTACCGGCACCAGTGACTATTGCGGTACCGCGATCGCTCGTTGACATCGGGGTGGGCGGTTAAGCGAGCTGTGGCGTCGGACGCAGGTTTAAGCACTTCTGTGTCTTCCACACTCTCTTCTTCGGCCCGGTCCTGTCCCGAGCATCCTGCTGAAAATAGACGGAGACCGGGTCTGGGAAACGCAGGACTGATCAGGGTCCTTCGCGCGCATCCCGAGAACGCTGGCAGGTGGTTCCGAATCACGTTGAACACGGCTCACGTGTCCCAGTCGCGATCAGCCCCCTCATCCGCACGTGGCTACATCGATGAGATTTCCAGCATCTTCGTCATTCACAGTGAGTGAGCAGCGCTTCGCATACCGTCGTCCATAAGGGTCAAGGTCTATCTTGATGATGGGAACTTACTAAGTGCTGGGGGTCCTGGCACTCCGTGACCCTATGCCTCATATCTGCTTAGTGAGATGATATCGGGTACCTTTTCGGTAAAGTAAGCGTCGTCGTCGTCGATGGCAACAGCGGCTAACAGCGGCTTCTGGTACTTTCGGGCTGCAGAGCTGTTTTTTCGTTTTACGGCGAATATTAGGATGTTTGAGAGATCCTAGGACCAATGCTCTAGAGAAAAAGCATTACTTCCCGGCTAATCTGAGGTCATCACGTGAGTATGACTTCACGCGTCAAAAAGACCGGTGCTGGTTTTTGGGTCTTGAAATACAGAAATTGAGCGTCCTCTAGATGTGAACTACCTAGTCACTTTTTCCCAAATAGCCACATAAAGTGAAGCCTCGGCATGAGCAACGTGAGGAGCAGTGCTCCGTGATGTCACGTAAGGTTTATTGATACGCGCCTCGTTCCGAGCATTTGACTGTTGGCATCATTCGTCGAGTTTGACCCAGCCATACTTGGCAGGCACCACGGCGTCATATCTGTTGTCGAGCGCTTGACACGGCGGGCAAGCTTTGAGCAGCCACCGCAATGGCCCATCGTCTGTGAAGGAGGAGGAACAGAGTCGGTGCAGGCGCTTCCGTGTTATTCTGTCGGTAAAGCAGACCTTGCCCTTGAAAAGTGATAGGGTCGTGTATCACGGAGGGTAATAAGAATTGTAAGATTCTCATCGGGTTTGAATACAGAGGGTGTGTACATATGTAACTGAGATATATATGAATAAGAGGTTGTATACGTACGCACAAAGAACACATAGACCGCGTCGGTCCAAGCGCGACGCGACAAATAACGATGGGATGAAGAGATGGCGAGGCGATGAGTAACGACGAATGACACACCAGGGAGGGGTCACGGTGTGACTGGAGATCACTCGCTGGACCCCAGCATTGGATCATGATCGCACTTTCCTCAAACAGACCTTGACCCTTATGGACGACGGTATTCGCAATACATACCACTTGTAATCGAAATGTGTCACCCGCTTAAACCCTCATCTGAATGCACCGCTTGCGTGCTTTCCTGCACCAGCTGCTCTGATGAACACCCAAGAAGTGCTTCTACTGTCATTAAAGTGATGATTCATGCTCTGGTTCGGTCACGACAGTTACGGCTCGCTGACCGGGTGACCGGGTGACCAGATCGCCCTGAGAAATAAGTGAGACTGGACAATCGCGCCTTCCGCTTCGATGCGTCGTGATTTACCAAGCCGCTCTATTAAAACGGTCTCTTCGGGCCGTGATGTATGTAACGCAGAGAGAAATCCATCATTTCGATAGTAAATCGAAAAGCGGGTGTATCGGCGAGACGAGGACCTCGTGATTGCATTTTCTGTCCTTTTCTAAATTCATCATGGTACGCATAGTCGAGTTGAACACCGCTCACGTGCACTCCAGCACGTGGTCCCCATCGATAAGATCGTGCTCGGATTCAAAATCATAGATATGTATCGTCAGTACTCAAGCAAAACGTGAGTAAGTACGATTTCGAATCCCGTAACGCGTCTTAATACATCCGTCGGCTCCCTGGCCCAGTGCTTCTCCAGCTGGCCATCGAACCGAGCTTGAAGCTCGAAACTCGATCGGGTCGTCGATTCTGCAATCGGGCCTCTGTTTAGGTCATCCTACTCTGATCTTTAGTTGATCCAGAACTAGACCTTCGAGATAGAAAGACTAGCACTCATCGCAGCCACGATTGTCGGTGTGACGTTACCGGAGGTGATAGCTCCGACTCGACAAATGGAGCGTAAGCCAAGCCCGTGCGTGCTGGGATGCGTAGTCGACATTATGGCAGTAATCTGGAGTGGACAAGGCAACACTGGCTATCACGAAAACATCCTAACGTCACCAGACAGGGAAGTGCGGTCTATTTTGGCATTAACAGTCTGCATGTACCCAACATAGGTTCAAATGTAAGTAAAACTAGGAGAGTCATATGCCTATGCACTAAATCTGAAATAACATAACATAACACAAACAACTACCCGCGTCTCTTTCCCTTCTCTGCCCCAGGATTCTTCGCAACATACCCATCGATCATGTCCATCATATTGCCCAGCCCCGCTTCCTCGGGCAGCCACTCCCCGTTATTGACGCACAGCACACGCATGCGCTCGTGGTACTCGAGGTCCGGGAGCAATTTCGGCGTGATCAGGAAGTACTGCGCGCTCTCTTCTTTGCACGTCACCTCGACCATCGAGTTGTGCACCATACGCTCGGCGATGTGGTCCATTCCCTACTGACGTCAGAACTCCCTCCTGGCCATCCGCACGGTAAGACGTACCTGGTTGATCTCGTCCACGAGCGAAAACGGCGCACGGGCTTCCTCCGTGAGACTCATCAAATACAGGATCGTCGTCAAAGCGCGTTCCTGGCGGATTGCAGCAGCGTGTCAGCGGAACATGGAATCTGCAAATCAAGAGGAAGAGCAACGCACGCCACCGGACTGTCGTTGGGCCGTCAGGAGCTGCAGCTTCTCCGTGTCCCTGAACTTGACGAGGATGTCGATGGCCCACTGATCGAACGCATCGGCTTCACGTATCTTGATCTCCCCAGCACAACCGATCCCTAACCAGCATTCGGTCATTCATCCCACTAAACGACAGCGGGGGCAACACAACTTACGATCGAAAGCCGCCGAAAACTTCTTGCCGATGCTGGCCACCAGCGCACGTAGCTCAGGCTCCCAATTGTCTCTCGCATTCTTGATCTGCTTCTCGATCTTGGTAGCCTGGCGCTGTCTCTGCTCGATGCTCCGTTCGAGGGATTCAATCTGCGATGGAATAAGATATCAAATCCCTGGCCGCGATCGCATATACGAAGCCCGAACGTACATCCCGTTTCCGCTTCTCGTACTGCTCGACCAGACCCGGATTCGTATTGGTGTTAGCCTGAAGCAGCGATTGCTGCTTCTCGAGCTCCCCCTGCAGGTCAAACACAGTGCGCAGGTCGACGCCTGCCCCAGGCTCAGGGGGATCATGGCCGCGCTGCTTAGCCTGTGTGATCTGATTCTCCCATTCGTCCCGGGCGTCCGCGATCTCCTGGTATTCGTCCCGCACTTCGTCGGGCATCTCTTGCAGCAACTCCGTCGTCTTGTTGAAGAGATCGGCAGCCTCTTTCTTGATACGCAAGAAATCTGCGTCCACTAACGCGAGGACAGATTCAGATCGCGGGTCAGAAGACCAAAAAGGACCGCACCTTTGCGGAACACCTCCATGGCCTCGTTATACTTGGCGTCTTTCCGATCACAGAGTTCCTGCAGCGCATTCTTCTTGGCTAGAACCTGGTAATACTCGAGTGCGATGCAGGTGGCGCGTGTTTGCTCCTTGACAATCTCGTGAGAGATTTTCTGGTTCGTCCGAATCAGCACCCTCCCTGGAAATAAATGGGTCGACGGCAGGAACTCACGATAACCTCAGTGACCAAGTCGACGCGCATCGTGGCATTCTTGACCAACTGACCACGCAGCTCCTTGCCCTCTTTGACGGAGTCTCCCTTGCTGGTCAGCAGCGCCAGCTTTTGCTGTGCGTTCTCTGGTATCAACAACACATCGTGAGTGGGCGAACTCCTGGAACAACGCGACACGACTTACTCTTCTCTCGATCCGTCTTGAGCCTCTGCTTCAGCTGATCTGCGATCTTTTTGAGCCGGACATCGAAGGCATCCTGCTTCTCCTTGTAATCCCTCTGCAGCGCCGACAATCTTCCCCGCTCATCTTTCAGCTCGTTGTATTCCCGCTCCAGCTGGCTCTCCTCCTCGAGGCAGCGCTGAATTGCTTCGTCAACACGCTGTTTGTCGGCCGGATTCACTGCATCGCATTCAGCTTTAGTCATCATCCAGCGTCTAGAACACCCAGACCTTGCACTCTGCCGAACATCTTAGCGGGTCCAATCGTGCTGGACGACGTCCCCAGCGCCCTTCGACCATATTTAGACCGTGAGATGTGATGCACGGTGCTTCCCTCATAGAATCTGGCGCGGCCATCCTGACCGAGCGTGTCTATGATCGTCTGGATGCTGTTCGGCGGAAGCGGCTGCAGAGTCACCGGCTACGCGAAAGCCTATCAGCATCGATCGACATCAGCCAGCACTGTGGTAAATCACCGCTCGATGTAGGTTGACTGCGCTGTAGAGATAGAACTCCATGCCTGCCGGACATTCGATGAAGTCACTGGCATACCCACTGAACCCGAATCGCTTCAATTCTTCCGGATTCAGGGGCTGGAGGCTGACGGATTCCGGCGTGATAGGCCCTGTGCCCTGCCTGCTGCCGTACCAGACCGAGATGCGAACTCGGGGGCCAAGCACCTTATCGTCATTGATGAACTTGTTGAGGGTGTCGCTATCCTCTTGGCATTGACACACGAAGGTCTATGTGGGGTGAGTATGGCTGGAACAGCGCGGCGAATTAAGCCAAGAACCCACCTTGAGTGCTTGCGACCCAAGCGCATTCTCAACTATCGACGCAAAGCGCGCATCACGCACAGTCACACTGAGCGCCGCGGGCTCGAAAACCTGCATCTGGAACTTGTCCCGGTTCTGCCGGAGCCAAACAACGGCCATCGCAGAGTTCTTATCCCATGCCTCGAATGCAGCGAGCTTCTGGCCGTCCGTGGAGGCAAGTTCCCGCTGGCTGACGGCGTGTGAGTGCAACAAGCAAAGGGAGCAGACCGAATGACAATCACCGGGTGTATGCTTGGTTCTTGCGATGTTCATTCGCTTGTCGTTTTTGCTGTAGCGCCCCGGACCGGCGGTTGACCTGGTCCAGCTCCGAGTGGTATGGGCTTCGCGCGAATTCAGCCTTGGCTTGGTTCTTCTCCTCCATGACAACGGCTTCGACATCGCCCTTCACCTAGAGCGAACGGGCCGTCAGCGCGGGTGGAGTGGGCAAAACAGCCCAATGCTACTGACATCCTTTTCCAGCTCGGTCGTCAGCTTCTGGATCCTGTCCTCCAAGGCCTTCATCTGAGCTACCCGGCTCTTTTCGTTCTTCTTCAGATTATCAATCTTGTTCTGGATATCGTCGTGCTCAGATTCCTGTGCGCCAATTGGTTCAGCTCAAAAGAATCCCGGTGGAAGAAAAGCTGACAAGTTGCAGAGCCTTCCTGGTGCTTTTCTCGCTCTTGTCGAGTATCTGTTTGAGAACCTTCTTGGAAGAATCACGGTCTTGATACAGCTCTTCCACTTGTTTCTCCAGTTTCCTTGGGAAAAGAGTCAGCGTCGTCACAGGCAGAGCTGAGCACCAACCTGAGATACGCATGCGCTGGAGCGTTCTTTTCCTTCAACTTGGAGACTTTGGCGTGCTGGGCCCGCTGCTTGTCTTTCAGCGTCCCGTACAGCTCGCGTGCCTCGCGGTACTCTTGAATGGGGATGAGCACGCGCAGCAGGGTGATCTGGAATGGTGAGCCTGCGCCACAGGAACCTGCTAGATCGTATCCACCTCGTGTTCAATCTTCTTTCGTTCACGGTACCGCTGGACGTCACGTTGTATGCCCTCGTTACGAGTCTTCATGGTCTCCATGGTCGTCGTTTCTTCAGTAATAGTCTGTCGGGACCAGTCAGTGCGCCGAGATCTGATGCGCGGCGACGACGCACGGTGGAGACAAGCTTTAGTTCCTTCCCTGCGTCGTTGAGAGTATCATGCCAACTCTTGAGTCTCTCGTCGCCGGCCGCGTTCTCCGTCTCCCTCAGCAGCTCGACAGGTGACATGGCCGCAAACGAGCTGACTTTGTCCTGCGGCAGGAACGAACACAGGTTGCCGACCTGCACATTAAGCTTGGCTACCTTCGCGCTGACCTCGCCGCCCGTCGCCGCCTTGCCGTTCAGGGTGAACGTCGAGCTCTTCGCACGAGAGGTGATATTGCGGCGGATCACGAGGTTCGGCTCCCCCGCAGGCCCCTTGAGCTCGATCTCGATGTGCCCTTCTTGGGTGTTGATCTTGACGAATTCGTTCAGGTCGTTGGCGCGGCCCAGGATCGCAGGCGACCAGTTCAGGCCGAGACAGATCGCGCAGGCGATAGACGATTTTCCCGTTCCGTTTGGTCCCAGAATCATGTTAAGATAGGGCCCAGGGCAGAACTCCACCGCGTCGTAGGTGACGAAGTTGCGCAGGTTGATGCGGACGATGGAGCCCGGGATATACCTGGAAGATCCATTTAGACGAGTCATAGACTTTATACCCGGAAAAAAGAGCACCGACCCATCGACGTCGCGAGGGAGTGTTTTGACGCGCACACGAGATGGGGGAGCTTCGTCGTCGTCGTCGTCTACTGCTTGCTCCTCATCCGCACCCTCACTCGGTTCCACTTCTCCATCATCCTCATCCTCATCTTCTCTATGAGCAGAGTCCCCTGCGTCATTGACGCGTGCTCGTTTGGCTCCACGCGGAGAGGTCTCTTCGTCGCGCGCCTTTCCTTTGCCACTAGGACGCGTCTTGCCGCCTTTAACACGGGCGGGTTCGGGACTAGAGTTCATATCGCCGTCTTCCGAAGACTCCACGCGCTTCGCCATCTAGCGTCGCGTGCGACGATGCGTTCAGCCCCGTCGTGCGAGGTAGGAAACAAAATGGGACTCAATTGGCGCGCTTGGCCTTGTTTGGCCTGATCACACGTGATTCGTGATCATCTCCTTCTCTCCAAGATGAATCCCGGGATATCGATAGCGAATGGCCTCCGATCTCTTCACACGAAAATCGACTTGGTACGGGGGTAGAGGCGTCTTCGCCAACAGCGCCATCCCCGCTGGAACCCTGATACACACGTGCCCTGGCCCGTATGCATCGGTCATCTATCGCGAGTTTCGCAAAGAAGTCTGTGCGCAGTGTTTCGCGTACTCCTTCGATGTCCGCCGGAATGCTTGGAACATTAGAAACGAAGTGCCGGGGGCAGGTGTCTGGTTCTGCAGCTCAACCTGTCGTCAAGAATGGAGCGGCGGGCCGATGACCTTGACTGTCAACGCCGCGGTGGACAAATTATCGAAGGCTGACGGGAAACGGGGCGCCACAGCATCAGCACATTCCGCCCTTGCGGAGAACTCTCCTGGGATCTCGCAGACTTCTATCGATTCTGCCTGGGAAAACGCGGCCCAGGGTCCGACAAGCGTTCGCCTGCCTTTGGAAGAACTAGAGCTGGAAACAGTCCGCTTCGTTCTATCCGCCCTTATTCGCCGACATACTGACGATGAAAACTCCTCTGGGACGCCTCTCAACAGCTGGCCTGATCTGCTGGAGCTTCAGGACAACGAGCTTCCCTATTACCGAAGCAAGCCGCACGCTCTGCCGTCGCACGTCCGCATATTCGCATTCATCCGCCAAGCCGTGCGCTCCTCGCCAGTTCTCGAGTGCCTGAAGCCCTACGTCGAGACCCCGGCCGCGGTGCGCGCCGTTCTCGCGCGGGATCCGGGGAACGTCTTCGGGCTGTTCGAGATGAACGAGACGGGCGACAGCGAGATGTTCGGCTGGTGCATGTACGTATCGGCTTCGTTCTTCAACCACGGTATGTCATCGCCTTCGCTGTTCCTCGCTCCTCTCTCCTTATTCTGTGTGGCAGATTGCGAACCGAATGTGCGCAAGCGGAGAGAAGGGCGGGCGCTGCACTTCTACACCACGAGGGACATCGAGAAGGACGAGGAACTGTGCACGAACTATGTCGATCTCAAGGACAGCGTGTCGGAGAGACGGGAGCAGCTCCGTGCCCACTGGTATTTCGAATGTGCGTGCCAGAGGTGCCGCAGAGAGCTCGCGCTCGCAGGAGAGACACCCGACGATGTGTGACCTGTGTATCGTCCCGCGTACTGCTGTCGAGGCAGGGTCTCTGCAAGACGGTTACATGCTGGACAACACCGACCCATTTCACGGTGCTCAGATCGTTGAAAACGAAGCTGTGGGCATGATGATATACACATTGGATTGCTGTAATGCAAGGACGGCGTATGAATCCAGTACCATGTATCATGGAAATAGCGCTTCACACAGAAAGAAAGAATCAAGGTGATGATAACGATAGCAATGCGTGGGGATGGTACAGATGGTTGGGAGCGCAAAACAAGGGGAAAGATAACGAGGCGGTTCTACAGTTTGGCGAGTCTTGTGGTGTCGATCTGGTACGAGAGCGGTGTGCCTTCCCCCACGGTCAGCCTTCCTCGGACGATCGCTGACTGACGGAAGATCTCACCCTCAGAGAAGTTGTTGATGAAGTCGGCAACGGTGCGATGGTGAGAGTGCGGGATGTATTCACTGCATCGGGGTCAACAAGGGGGCGATACACCGGCGACGGCACATACGTGAACGATTTCAAATCCTGGAACTCGACCGTAATGGCTGTCGATGGATCAGAAAGGCTGGCGCCGGTCCCGACCGGGTCACGGACCGAATTCATATCCACGCGCGCCGCGCGGGCTCAACGGCGGGCCAACCTTGAACGCATTGAAGCCCGGGATGGCGAGGCCCGCGACAAGCAGGGAGAACACGGTGCGGTACGCGTCGGTGCGCTCATCCTCCGTCAGTTCTGGTTTGAATTTGGCGAGCGCTGGATGGGGACATTCAGGACGCTGCTGCGTGCGTGCGCGAGGCGGACTGACTGAAGTGTTGCACCGGCATGGGTGCATAAGGAGAGGGAGGGAGGGAAGGCAGGAAGCAGGAGGAAGCAGGGAGCAGCTGAAGGGGACGCGCCTGCATTTGAATCCGGTATGTGTGCAATTAGACGTGTCTTCGACGTCTGTCAACGTCATGCGAAGCCCGTTCGAATCTCTGGTGGTTCTCCGTGTAAATAGACTTCAAATAGACATCCAAGCGAATATGCGGCGTCCCAGAAAAAGAGCGGTGCCTTCCCGATTGGCTTTTAAAGCATATCAGACTCGCCTGTCGTGGTCGCCACATTCAGGACCTTCGGCTGCAAAAAACAGTTGCAGGAGGAGACGCATGATGTTCATCGGTATAGATAGCTATAACTAAGGAATCTACGCTGCATGGAAGGTGAGTGAATGCTTGTACGTCCCTCGAAGAACTGCTTTCACCTCGCACACGCGACTTCGAGCGTCATCGTGCATGCTGGCCTTGCAATTAGATAAACGCCCGCTTCGGAGGCTCTCCACAAACTCACCCGTCCCAGTCTTCAAGCATCCTTGGGGGGAAAAAACGTCAGCGGATCAGACATCGAGTGCATCTGGAGCTCACAGTTGGCTGCACACGCTTCCAAGGGGGCGCGTCCTGTCTGGATTCAGAGATAAGCTGGGGCACACTCGGCAGCACTTACGGCCACGGTCGCTTGGCTACGCTTCCAGGGAGGAGCATCCTGAGATCTGTGAGTTGGCTGCGTCGGATGGATACCACAGAGACGACGGACGCCTACGACATCGGTAGCGCGCTTCCAAGGAGGTGGGTCCTGCCAACCATCATCAGGCATGATCCGACTTGCGACAGAGCATACATACAGCGGCGGTGGGTGTGGCTCGCTTCCAAGGAGGAGCATCGTCGACCTAGAGATCAGAAATGAGAACATGTTCACCAAAAGAGACCGCTCAGCGCACCAGCACCCCATCCGGCTACAGGCACATCGTTGTTTAGCTCATAGAATCCGTCACAGGGTAGAGAAAACCGACAGAAGCTTGCTTGGGCGCTGCAAGGACGGAGCCGGCAGCGGCGAAGACGACGAGCAGGGACGGTAGGCGCATGGGGACCGGGGGTTCGCAGATAGAAGAGCGATCACCTGCTGTGGTTTGCCGACGAGACCTTAAATACTTGAGCCGTGCTTTCCAGGAACGGCACTGAGCGAGATCTGAGCGCTTCCCCCACCGCGCATAGATAAGGATTCCGATACTCCATTGACACGCCCCACCAGGTCATCCGGGTGTTTGCAAAAGGCCCCCCTTGCACGGGATCTGATTGTACTCTCCATGAGCCTGAGGATATCCTCACAGCGTAGCCAGGCCGCCCCAAGAAATCTAGTTGCAGAATCGGATTTAGGAGTTGAAGGCTTGAAGCGGACTCTGGACGGAGATGACAAGAAATCAGCATCAAAAGACGATCGTCAGGCTTCGTCGGGTGGCATGATCAGCGTGCACGCGGATCGGTTGCAAACCGGCGACTTTGGGACCGGCGGTAGCCACTCGTGTTCAACTTTGCAGATATTCAAGAAACTCGGTCTGTATACTGCCTCGTTTGAGTGCTATTGGTCTAAAAAAGCTCAACAAATCCGATGCTTTACTCCCCTTCAAGCGCTCACCGAAAGCTGCAGTCGAAAATGTGTCCATAGCCACCTTGGCCCAATGCCGAGATTATACCCCTGCGCCACCGTTATAAGCGAGATGATCTTCCTGGACTTGAGGTTTTGCGTTGTAACTTGTGGGAACAGTACATATCTCGAGCACCTCTGCACACATACAGTAGCAGAAGCAGCATTGGTTGTACATCGCCAGCACCAGACGCACACCGGCTCTAACAACAGTAAGCGTCACCAACCGTGCGGCGGAAAACATCGAAAGCAACTACTGTACATGTCGGCTACGTTGTGTGCTTGGCTAGCGCCCGAAAACTCGGCTAGGCTGCATGCACACAAACTATCGCATGGCAGCCTTCTTCTGACGCCGCTGTTCAAAGTGTGCAGCCTCGGTCCCTCCGACTCCCCGATGACATGCATATAGCGTATGATGTCGGTGTAATCAGCGCCCCGGGCTCCCCCGCGCCGAGGCCTGCGGTCAACCGTTCCCATGTCTGTGTCTTTGTTGAGATTGAGACAAGGGGACACAGACAAAGGGAACGGTATGCCCTGGCCACGCGTGCAAGCCTCATGCGTCCTTGCCAAAGGGGGTGTGCCTCTAAGGTGCTCGAAAAGCTTCGCTCTCAAACTCCTTCCTCCTCCTCGACTCAGTATGGCTATGCGCAGCGGCTTGCCCATCCTCTCAGCAGACTACCTCGCACGCATCGAGAAACCAGGCCGCGCCCCACGCAACGCAAGAGCTGCGGGTTCGAAAGGCCACGTTAATGATGCTCCAGGTCGATCGGAACAGGTGCGAAGCACCGAATCCAAGTCCGAGTCCGCGCGCATTCGGAAGCAAGAAGGTGCGACGTTCGAAGTCGACGGACGCGAGTCGCGTCGGTGGAAGATGCGTTTGGCAGCGGGTGACTTGCCAGTGATCGGACCTCCATCATCATCATCATCATCATCCTTCTCGCAACAGGCGTCTCCACATGACATCCGTAACGAAAGGGTCGACCCACCTTCCCTCCGCACTCCCATGGCAGTCAAGACCCACAGCTGGGTGTCCCTCTGGTTTCTCGTCACCGCTCCTGTACGCGCTAGTGCTGCGTAGTGTCCGGAACGTTCATTCATGCGTGTCTCTGCAGGTTGTCGCGTGGGACATAGGTTACTGTTTCATGAGGCACGCGTCAAAACGCATCCTATTCGACGCTAACCTTCCAGCATAGGCCCCGGTCGATGATCGTACGCGTCATCTACTAGCTGATTATGGACAACCCTGCTTCAACGTCAATAGGGAGGTGATTTGCACTGGATTTGGAAGCCTTATGCGCTGTATCAAAACGTGAGCTGTCCTCTTCTACCCGAGCTTCAACCCTCACCTTCGAGCAGGTCGACCTCGTAAGACTCGAGTCGCGTGCGTCGCTCGGCAACTCCCACTCAACATCTCGTAGGTCTACGGCGTGGCTGCCCTGGAACGCGGGGATGGGTTCACCAATGCCCAAAGTGAGTCAGCAACCACGCGCTCGCGTGCACACTTCCAACGTCTGTCACCCAGCACTTCTTAACGTGGTCGAAACCATCATGAATGTGGTTTACCTCTACACCGCGCACGTCGCCGGCTGGCCGCCAGCCCCCATGATCGGCTTCGCTGCCGCGACCATGACGCTCTCGAAGACCGTGCTCTACTGGGCCCAGGAGTACTATTGCAACTACTGCGCCGTTGGGCACAACTCCATCAACGACCTGATCCTGCTCTGGATCATCCCCAACGGGTGAGTCTTCTCGGCCCCATTCGCGCGCGCCCCGGTGCCCTGAGCTTTGCGTCAGGTTGTGGATCGTCGTCCCCGCGTTTATCGTGTGGCGCCTGGGCAAGGACATCGCCGGGCAGCTCACCCTAGCGCACAACGTCGCTGTCAAATCAGCTTCGGGAAAGAACAAGTGAACTAAGTACTAGGTAGGAACCGCCATCCGGTATCGCTCGCTTGCTCCAATGCTCTCTGTTCGCCCATGTATTTTTGCTATCTACCTCGAATCTATCGGATGTGCCGCTTTTGAATTGATTACAGCACCGTAACGTACTGGCGCCGCTCCCGCCGTCTGTCAGAGTTTCGGCTGAGTATGATGACCCGCGCCTACAGGATTACCGTAATATCGAGCCCCGAGTATCAGCCCCAAACTGGTTTCAAACGCCGTCCACTTTTGTCGGCGCAGACGTAGTCCGGGTACAAAGAAATTGACCCCCAGCCTAGGGTATTATTAACCCTCGATCAAGGGCGTACGATGTATACTTTTTTGCGATGAAAGTACGTATCTAATCGCGCCCAAGATTTCTGTCATTGTCGGCAACGAGTGGGTATAATATAAAATCTGGTGTACAGTCTCGAAAAACATACATCCCATCGCCTTCACCCAGATGCAATTCAAAGTACTCGCCGTCGTCGCCGCCCTCGTGGCTTCCGCTGCCGCTCAGGCTGGCTGTGTGCGTAATCCCTTGGTGCTTGACTGCATACGGACTCCTAGTTGAGAGCACTTCCCAGGTCTCTGTCCCCGCTGGGTCTGCGTGTCCCACCGGCACCGTCGGATGTGGCCCGCACACCAATCAGCCCACTGACGTTCTGTGCTGCCCGGTATGATACAGCTCGACCTCATACCACTCGTCGCTGATCCAGAAAATAGAGGTTTTGCCCGTTGTAGATGTATCGTGTAACATGTCTGAGCTTACCTGCCAAATCATGCTGCATATAACCAGGGGTGGGGTGTGCCACGACATGCGGCCCTGACTCGCCTTCTGTCGACTAGTAAGCCTAATGAGAGATCGCACGCTGGGGGAATTCGAGGCAACCGCAATATAGCCCTCTCGCGATGTTGCTCGCAGTCTGCAGAGTTGGCGCTTGAGCGCTAAGAGCCCAGTGTCCGTCAAAGTAGACGAAGAAAGGACGCAGAGCCACAAGCGTAACGCCTTGAGGAGAGGATCTCATCGAGTGCGAAGATAAGATCGTCAGGTGCATTGCAGCAGTGGGAGCTTCGCGTAGAAGGAAGAAACAGCTGATGGAGAATTGCAAGGTATAGTGAGCAGCAGCCGATCATCCATCGAGCAAATTGCCAGGAAAGGTTAGCATTGAGAGCTTGCAGCGACATCGAGATATCTTCAAGTCGTCACAGTTGAAGGATTCAAGAGGTCAGTAAGGACTAAGAAGCACGGCCATTTGACGGAATTAGAGAGTATCGGCAACGTGAGATACGCGATCATCGCCCCGCTTACTGAGTTCTGGACAGTTGCATATCCGGAGTGCAACGAGATCGAGGAGACTGCTCACTCTGCACCTTCATCGACGGGAATGTCGGACGACTCGGACAGATCGTTTGAGCAGCCCGCCAAGGGCCAAGGCAACGTCAGCTTATGTCATGGTTTGTCTAGGCATGGTCAAGGCGTGTGGCGGGGAAAAGAAGCCGTTTTCAGTTAAAATTAGTACATACTCCCTCGATCTCCTCCTCATCTTCCTCCTCCCCCTCGTTCTGCTACTTCTGCCCCGCGCATGGCCACGCAGTATCAGAGCATCCAAGGGCAGCAACAGCCCATGTACTCCGACCCGGCGCATAATGGATCTACGGGATACATTTCGTCTCCAGCAAAGAAGGGAATAAGCAACTGGGTCAAGGTGCTTCATTCTTCTCCCCCCATAACCTTTCTCTCAAACTTAATGCTAGATCGGCATACCAGTCGCAGTCGTCGTCATCGTCGCTGCCGTAGTCGGAGGCGTCGTCGGCTCGCGCCACCATTCATCCTCTTCATCCTCCTCATCCTCCGCATCAGGGTCAGGAAGCCAAGCCACCGGCTCAGCCGCGTCCGCGCATGCATCCGCCTCCTCTGCCGTCAGCGCCAAGCTCGCCCTGGGTCGCTTCGCCACGGCCACGAACAGCGAGTTCATGATGCCGATCTACCCCTCCACGACCGACAGCTCCGCCTTCAGCTCTCCGACGTTCGTCCCGTCCACAAGCTCGACCAACTCGTGGCCGAAGGACCCCTTCTCCCCGAGCTCGCCGGACGTGACGACTGTGCGGCCTGACCGACCGCGCCTCATCGCGCCCGCGTACAGATGGGCCGCCCTCCCCGAACTCATCGCGAACGACCCGTATCTCAAGGGCTGGAACGCCACGATCTTCGGGAACGCGACACAGTGGAGGGCGGCGCCGCCCGTTGTGTACTTCATGGACGGCTCCAGTGGCATTCTAGACAACTCGCGCTCCGTCAAGGAACGCATCAAGGCGTTCGCGTATGCCTACCGCATGACGAATGATACTGCGTGGGTGGACAGGACGTGGGAGGAGATTCAGGTGTGTGCAGTCCTCTCCAATGGTATATGATGTTTCGATCTTGACTGGTTTTAGAACGCAGCTGGTAACGGCACGACTCCTTTCGGCCCAGACACCGACAAATGGAACGCTGCGCACTTCCTCGACACCGCTGAGATGTCCGCGGCGTACGCCATCGCCTACGACTGGCTGTACGACATGTGGTCGCAGGACCAGAAAAACAAGATGATCTTCACGCTCCTAAAGTACGGGCTCCAGCCTGGTCTGTCACAGTTCACGACCGGCTCTGGCTGGTGGGCCAACAACATCACCGGCAACTGGAACTGCGTGTGCAATGGCGGCCTGACCCTTGCGTCGTTGGCTATCCTCGGAGACGATGGCAGCGGTGTTCCAGAACAACTGCTGGCCAAGACCGTCCCGAATGCAGTGGGAAATTGTGCCAAGGCCGTTTCGCCAGATGGGACCTGGGCCGAGACCGCAAACTACTGGTACTTCGGTACTACGGGTGCGTTCGTTTTGTTGCTGATTCGCACATTGTTGATCCATCGACAGCTCACGCCGAGATGGCCTCGTCTCTCATCAGCGCTACTGGATCTGACTATGGCCTGCTGGATACCAACACCGACTTCTCCAGGACGGGCGATTTCCACATGTACGTCACCGGAGCGACGTCTCTCTTCAACTACGGCGACCACGGGCCCAACAAGTTCTCCACCACCGCCAACTCGATGTTCCTGTACGCGGATCACTACAACGAGCCGCAGTATGCGCTGTTTCAACGGGATATGGCGGACGCCGCTGAGCCGTGGTCCATGTTCTGGTATAACCCCTCGATCAAGGGCGCGTTCTGGGACGGCAAACCTCTCGACCACTTCTTCAGCTCGGGCACGGATCAATGGGCTTCGATGCGGAGCTCCTGGACGGACAACAACGCGCTCTACGTCGGCATCAAAGCCAGCACGCTGCGCTTCCACCAGACGCACAACGACCTGGACGTCGGAGACTTTGTCCTCGATGCGCTCGGCACGCGGTGGTTCGGCGAGCTCGGATCTGCTGACTACAATGCACCGGAGTACTTCACGTCCGACGCCCAAGATGCTGTGCGCTGGCAGTACTACCGGAAAATGACGGAGGGACAGAATACTATCTTGATTGGCCAGACTAACCAAAACGTCGACGCGTTGCCGACTGTCCAATTTGGGACCTCGAACACGACACAGGGCCCCACCACCGTTATGCAGGTCCCGCAAGACTCGACGGCCTTCTTTGTAACGTGAGTGTCGACGATCATCCCTGTCGAGAGTAGAGCTTCTGAAGCGTACTCCAGAGACATGACTTCGGCTTACTTCAACGCGTGAGTGCGCATCTTTGCGTTGTGCTTGCATAGCTGACGACTCTTTTACAGCACATCTGTCAAACGGGGGATCCGACTGCTGAATGCTCGCACCCAGGTGCTGCTGCAAGACGAAGTCACGGCATCCGCCGGCGTCATGTGGCGCGCGCACACGAACGCGACTGTCAACGTCGACTCGTCGGGAACTTCCGCGTCGCTGTCGCTGGATGGGCAGACGATGAAGGTCCAGATGCTAAATGCACCGAATGGCGCCCAGTTCACCACGGGCCCTGCGGTCCGGTTCCCGTCTGATGTCACGCCCCCTATCCCTGACCAGCCCAATCCTGGTGTGACTGTGCTCATGATCAGCCTGCCTGCAGGTGCGTAGCTCTTGATCTTGTCTCGTCTTTCGTGTGTGTATTGATGCACAACCCCCAGGAACATACTCGCTCCAGGTGCTGTTCAGCCCACAGGCGAGCGGTGCGAATCTCGTCACGCCGCCGTCGGTAGGATTGGATCAATGGACGCTCACGAGCCACAATTGAGCCACTACTGCTGCAGCTATCTTGGACTTTTTTTTGATTACACACTCTTTTTGGACATACATACAAGTATAGGTACATTACTGACTCTAGTGTTACGCACGAATGTATGACACCACACCACATTGCATTGCATCTTTCGCACTGTTAGATCTGATCGCGGTCGGGTCGGTGGTGGGTGTCCACGGGGACGTTGTGCGGGCAGACTGGAAATGCACGGCTGCGATTCTAACCTTGGCACAGCATCCGTCGGGAAATCCCGCATGCACGGGTCTGATGATCGGATCGACGTTGGGATTCGGCTGGCCATACTCCCTTGAATATCATGCAGCGAGAGAGAATACCGAGGTCGGGGACAAATTTTTCGGGGCCACCGACTTGGCCTCTCGATTGTCTTATCTGTCTTAGCGGCGGCGAACTTGCTGATGTGCAGCATAGTGCTTTGTTCCATTTAGGCTCTGATCGCTCTTTGTTGTTGGCCTCTGGGCACACAATGGGAGGCCGTTTCTTGGATGAAATGAGGCCTCTGCGATATTGCTCCGGCCAAAGCCAGGGTCCACCGCGCTCTGGGCGGACTCTTTGTCTCGTCCCTCCCGTGAGCGTGTATATAAGTCAGCTGAAGTGCGGCCGCAGCAGTCCAGCGCTTTCTCGTCGCCTCCAGCAGTCCCGAGCCATGCCCACCAGCCCGATCCCAGCATTGACGTACGTGTGGCAGGGCGGGATCAGCTATGCGGTGGGGGACCAGGTGTGTCTCTTCCACAGGGAGCAGCGCACCGTCGCCGTGTGGAGATGCAGAGTCGCTCGTACGTGTCCGTTTCGCGCTCTTCATGTGCCCGTTCTGACCGATCTCTAGACACGTCGGGAACTTCCGCAGAGATGAGGGTGAGTAGGGCCCCACCCAATCAATACCAATACGTGCCAAAAGCTAATCGGACGCGCGACTCGCAGCCAAGGTGGACCGGCGGCACATCGTGGCCCGGTGTCAGCTCCGAGATCTGGGAGTACGTCGGCACATCGGTCTGAGCGTGGTCGCACGGAGGACGAAAAAGTTGCCAGTCGTCACTGCGGGCACTGCAGGATAGCGGTGGGGGAACAGGCCTCCTCGATTCGGTCTTCGGACTCTAACTCAAGGAACATGCCCAGTCGTCGCTGCCGCCGGACGAGCAGTCCGCTCGCTGTATTTATTGCATCCTAGGGAATTTAGAAGTTTTTCTGGGGGGAGATCATTGTGTCTTTGAATACCTCACGATGACGGCCTTGAACGACGTGAGGCAGAGGAGAAGTTCAACGTATGGCACGTGTGCAACACGATCACATGATTGTGGGGTGATGAACACCGAAAGGTATTACTCACCTGACTGCATGTTGAGCGAGGCATTCTAGAGCAGCTCACAAGTGAAATACTGTAATGACAGCACATTTGCATTCGGGATTAGTTGTAGCCGGAGAGGCCGAGTTGAATTTCCATCTGAGTTAGGATGTGAATGTGATGGGATTCAGGACTCGTCCGTCTACCTAGTACCGAAGTGAGGAGCGAGACAGTCCCTGATAAGAAAAAAGTAGCGGTACATCCGTCAACTGATAGCTGGCATTTGCAGGTTCCACACATGTACATCTCAACGACAAAGTAGTTACGGTACAAAACATCATATACATTTACTTACAATAACTCAGAGCCCATTCCACTCGAATCCTTTCTGCACCGCAAACTTGCTCTCGAGCTTCAACAGATCGCTGCTGGGTCCCACGCGCACGAGATACTCGCCCGTCTCGACGACCCAGGAGCCGACAATCTGCTCCCAATACGACACAGCGTACTTGTCCAGCGCGATGTCCACGATCTTGCTCTCCCCAGGCCTAAGCGGGACCTTCGCGAAGCCCTTGAGCTGCAGGGGCGCATGCGTCACCGAGGACGTCGTCGGCAGGCTCACGTACACCTGGACGACCTCGGCTCCCGCGACGGCGCCTGTGTTCGCGACTTTGACCGAGACGGTCAGCTCGAACGAGTCGGACGTCACGATCGGCGAGGACAGGCTCAGATCTGAGATCGCGAACGTCGTGTAGGACAGGCCGTGGCTGGATGCAGCGTCAGTCTCGAGCGGGCAGACTCGCTGAAAAACACGGCACACACCCGAATGCGAACTGCGGCTTGATGTTGCGGTGCAGATAATGCTTGTAGCCCTGCAGCCGAACACATCAACAGCAGGCCGCCAAAGCCGCAAACGACACATACCACGAACAGATCCTCCGAATACAACACCCGGCCGTTCTCAGAGTGGAAATGCCCGTGAGACGGCACGTCTTCCAGCCGCTCGGGGAAGCTCATCGACAGCTTGGCGCCCGGGTTGACCTTGCCAAAGAGCACATCGGCGATGGCGTCCCCGGTTGCGTTGCCGAGATACCACGCGTGCACGATGGACGGCACTTGGCTCTTCCACGGCATCACAATCGCAGAGCCCTGCCGCCGATATCAGGCGCCACCCAAAACAGAATTGACGACCAAGAGTCACGCACCGATTGGGTCACCACGACCGTCTTTGGGTTCGCTGCGGCGACCTTCGCGATCAACTCGTCCGTGCGTCTCGGCAGAGCGAGAGTTGTGCGATCGTAGCCTTCCGTCTCCCAGTCCCCGTTCAATCCAACGACGGCAATCACCACGTCGGCCTCCTTGGCCAAGGACACCGCCTCCTCGAGCAGCGCATCAGAGCTCACGACATCGGATCCACCGAGCCGGACACCGGGGTTGCTGGATGCGTCGGGTATCGTCAGTGACTCACGCTCCAAAGAAAAGCACATCTTCCACGCACCTGTCCATGACCATCTCGTCTTCGTCGCCATCGGCGGGTGCGCGCACATTGCAGTACTCGACAAAGATCTCATGTTTCACGCCCGCCTTGAGCGTGAACACCCCAAACTGCTCGACCGAGCCCTGCCCGAAGAAGTGCTCGCCACGCGTTTGGCGCGTCCAGTTGTCGATGATCAGCTGGCCGTCGACGAACAGCTGCAGCAGATCAGCTCCATGCTCGATCCAAAACTAAAGGGTGGCGCGCACCTTGGCACGCCCCGCTGAAAACAGTCCAAACTCAAACGGCGTGTCCTTTTCCCTCGGCAGCATGTGACCCCGGAGCTTGAGTGTCCACCGTTTAGTCAGCGCAGCGGGGTACGACGTGCTGATGAAGATCCGCGTCTCGTCGATGTACCGCGTCTCGACGGGCTCCGCGAGCGCAGTCATGCTTTCGTCGTGCTCGTGCGAATGCCACGTCGCCGTCCAGCCGGGTTTCCCGTCGTCCGTGAACAGCTCGGTGTCCATCGACGGGGAGGTGAGCCAGGCTGCTCAGATGTCAGTCCGCGAGCTACGGCACATCAAACTCAACGCACCGCGAGCGCCTTCGCAGAACGTGACCTCGACATCGCTGCCCAGCGCATCGACGATGCCCTGGTACGGGGAGACGAAGTACGACGCGCGCAGAGCAGCCGAGCCTCCACCGCTGAGGACGTGGGCCTTGGCGTTGCTCCCCACAATCGCGACCTTCTTGAGCGTCTTGGGCTGCAGGGGCAGGAGCCCCCCGTCGTTCTTCAGCAGGACGATCGACTCGGCGGCAGTGCGGCGCATAAGAATCTTGTCGGCCTCGCTCTCCAGCGTGCGCTCCAGCCCGTCGCCGTCCAGCACGTCCGGCGCGGCAATAGCACACTTTTGCACGAACTCGAGGACCTTGGCCGCGCGCTGCTTGATCACGCGCGTCGTCACCTTGCGCGACTGGATCGACCGGTTCACGTGGTCGTGCGTGCGCCACTTGTTGAGCCCGGGCATCTCAAGGTCGAGCCCCGCGTGGATGGCGAGGTCGAGGCTGTACACTCCGAACCTGCGCGCAAACCCATCAGACTTGGCCCCATCTTCGATCTGCTCGGCCTCACCAGTCGCTCATTACCTGATATCAAATCAGCAACATTCTTGTGGAAGAGATGGGTCGTACCATGCCGTCGTACTTCCACTCTTTCCGCAGGATCTCCTGGAGGATGTGCTTATTCTCCGACACGTGAGTCCCGTTGACCCGGTTGTACCTAGAAAACACATGAGCGTGGATCAGCGGGAGTAGATCACAACCAACGCGGTCATCATCGACCAGGGCTTGGCCAGCTTCTGGGCCAGCATGAACGGCATGAGATAGATCTCCCGCAGAGCACGTTCGCTGAGGTCACTGCTGTAGGCCATCCGATCATTCTCCTTGTCGTTAGCCCTGTACATCGCTCAATAAGCCGGCGCTAGTGCGAATCAGTCGGAACTGGAAGCATACACGAAATGCTTGATCGTGCTCGCAATCCCGCCGTCCTGGACGCCATTCACGTAGGCTGCGGAAATCAGCCCAGAGAGGAACGGGTCCTCCGAGAAACTCTCGAAGCTCTGCACACCACTTGAGCCGCCCGCCCCGCGCTAGATCCGAAAGACAAGGAGAACACGCACTCGACCGCCAAGGGGGTTCTAGAACGCAGAGAAAGACGTCAGAAATGCGGGTTACACGTCAACATCAGCGGAGCTGCTGCACGCACACGCTGGATGTTGCACGTCGGGGCGAGGATGACGGACGCAGACCGCAGCTTCGCCTCAGGAGCGAGAAGCTTCAGCCCCACCTCGTGGATCAGCGCGGGATCCCAGGTCGCGCCCAGCGCGGTCGCGGACGGCAGGCATTTCGCGGGCGTGCCCATGAGGAAGTGGTTCCCGCGCACACCGTTCGGGCCATCGCTGACCTGCGCGCAGAGTCAGAAAGAGAACGAGATAAATAGACCGCGGGATGGTAAGAACCTTGATAGCAGGTATACCCAACCTCTCGATCGCGGCTGTATGCCAGTTTCCAACACCAGCGATAAGGTGGATCGCCTCGTCCGTCGTCAGCTTTTCGACGATCTCTGCGACGTTGGCTTTCGCAAAGTCAGATGGAGGCATAGTGGGACGACTTTCAAAGTTGTTGGCTCGAGGGATAAAGGAAGAGAGGGTAGCCTAGCGAGCATACGTTGGGGAATTGACGGTCCATACTATATCGGTTTCGCCGATGATTCGCCGGTGGGCCGCGTCACTTGACCCAGCTTGTTCGCTTCAACTCTGTGCAGGGTTTTTCCGGTAGGGCCAAGTAGCCGTGAGCGAGGCTTGCCATTGGATTCATCTGTTACGACGACGACCCGAAGCACTTGGAGTTGTTGGAAGAAACGCGACCGGTCACGCACACACACACACCATGTCACGGTGACAACGAGTCACGTCTGCTCAAGTTGCCAAGTAGACTCGCAAGTCGCCATAGTCGAACCAAGCATGAACCCTGCGCTCAATTTAAATCATACTGTGAGGTATTCCGACAAGAAAACACGTCTTGCGACTTCCCACCAACGTGTAAAATATCTGCCGCACGCTCCACAACGAGCTTGGGGAGCTCAACTTCCCCGTCCTTCTGCTCAGAATATCTTGTGTCAGTGACCAGAAAATCGATCAAATCCTTCCTATTCACGTACCGGAACGTCGAACCATATCACTCGGCAGAGGTCGCCACGGCACACCCTGCAGAACGGTACCGGCTCGACTCCGTCCGAGGCTTCGCGCAATGAGCCCACAGTGCCGGAGCTTCAAGATCGGTATCAGGAAGTGTGCGAGGCAAGGGAACCGCGGCTGCTGTCTAGCGAGGGGTTCTCGGAGCTTCGAGTTGTTTGTGGTTTGTGCACTTGAGCAGACGACGCTCCGACGAAAGATCCGGCACGTTTCCTGTACTCTTCACCCACATGGTCGGCATCTGCATCTGGTAACGGATGTCTCACGGCGCGTCGAGGAGCTCTGGACCTCGATCGACGGGAGGGTGAAGGACTCGGGCTTCGGGAGATGGATATGAAGTTGCGGGGAATGTAAGCGACTAGAGACTTGTTCCTAGTGCAGCTTTCCGATGGACGGGTCCCCGGGACTCGCTTCTCAATGTTAACTGTGACTCCAGTACGAGCCGTAGGTCTTCTTTCCTTGCCACGGGTCGTCGTCTTCCTCGCGATACTCCATCCTGTGATCGTAAACCCGCGCCGGATGGCTGATAGAAGATCCTGCTCAAGCCTAGGTCTATCCCCAAAGCAGAGGCCAGCGCCATAAGCATGATACTCGAGTATTCAAGGCTTGAGCCGCTTTATTTCCAGCCATCAGATGCACAACTAATCACTTGAGACTCTACTTTCTACTTTGAGTCGCGATGACTCATACAAACCTCGGTCCACCTCGTTCCTCATGAGCCCGCATCTTCGCTTCACCAAACTCGACGTCTTCACGTCGACGCCTTTCTCTGGAAATCCCCTCGCGATAGTCCATGTCCCCCCGAACGTGACGCTATCCCAGGACGAGAAGCAGCTCGTCGCGCGCGAGTTCAACCTCTCGGAGACCGTCTTCCACCACGAGCAGGACTCCCACGACCCTGTCACGATCGACATCTTCACGACAACCGAGGAACTGCCCTTCGCTGGCCACCCGACCATCGGCTCCGGCTTCCACCTACTCTCAATCGCGCCCGATCGCGACACGGTCACGCTCCGGACCAAGGCGGGGGACATCCCCGTGGTGCAGGAGGGCGGGATGGTGAAGCTGCAGGTCCCCATCGACTTCAAGACGCACCCCTCGCTCGCCATCCCGCAGCTCAAGACCCCGCAGGCGGCCCTGCACGACGCCGACTTCGTCCACGGGCGCACGGGCGCCGAGGCGTGCGCGTCGATCGTCAAAGGCATGACCTTCGTCCTGCTCGCGCTCGCGTCCGAGGACGCGCTCGCGCGCATGGGGCCGTACCCGGCGCGCCTGACCGTGCCGGACGCGGAGACGGTTCTCGGGCCCTGGGGCGTCGGCTTCGCCGGCGTGTACGCGTTCTTTGAGCGCGCCGACGGCGTCGTGCGCACCCGCATGTTCGACGGGACGCTCGAGGATCCGGCGACGGGCTCGGCGGCCTCGACGCTGGCGGGGTGGCTTGCGCTGCGCCGCGGGCCTGGTGTTCATGTGGTCGACATTCTGCAGGGTGTCGAGATGGGCAGGAGGAGCGAGATCAAGGTCACGGTGAGAGTAGGGGACGATGGCGTGATTCAGCGAATTGAATTGGAGGGAGCGGCGGTGAAGGTCATGGAGGGATTTATTGATATCTAAGCGGTGCTGGTTTTGATGCCAGGTCCTCGGGAAACATTGTAACTCAGCTTGCGTTCTCGCCAGCAGATGCAAAAAATAAATTTACAGACTTGGAGTGTAAGTTCTGGACAAGGACCAGGATCGATCTGAGAGAGATTAGGGCAATCACGGTAGAGTAAATGCGAACAGAACACCGAGCATGGCAATGTCACAGACTTGCCTCCTTTGCACACCCATCTGACTGGGTCTCGGACATTAGGGCGTATTTGCTCCCCGCCAAAACGAAGATTTCCGCCTTTTGATCTTAAATTTGATGTCTGATAGCAGAAATTTGGGTGTGACACCGAAAGGGGAAAGAGTTGCTCAAGGAGCCACCCGAGCGTCGTGTGTCGGGCGACGGGGGGCGGGGGAAGAGCTTACAGGAGTTGTTACCAAAGCCATTATTAGCTGTCTATGAGATGCAAAGTACGTTGTTTATGTGCGATATGGTCCTCCCCCCCGAGTATGCTTCCTGCTCAAAACCGCCCAACCCTTTTGCTTTCACAGCCAATCATTCTGCAGTCTACGTCTTGTTGCAGGTCATAATAGGCACCATTTTGTTCTATTGGGTTTAGCTAGGTAATACGAGCTACTCCGCAAGCCTCTGCGAGGGCATGAAAGCCAGTGAGCACACTGGCGCACAAAGCTGGGCGCGCGCGAAAAGCAGGAGTCACATCAAAAGTCACATCTGTCCAATTCTCGGTTAAATTTGATCTGTGATAGCAGAAATTTGAGAAGCCTTGCAAATACGCCCTATTCATGCTTCCGCTGCATGATCGTATGGGTTGGCGTGTCAAACGCCAAAGGCTTTGGAATCAAATGCACGATCCAACTTGTCGAGTCGAAGCGGTCCGCGTGGATAGGTCAAGCCGAGTGACGATTGCTATCATTTGTCTAAAATGAGCTTGGGCAAACAGTATTATCCGCAGATTCCGCACCTTGCCCAATTCTGTAAGCTTCATGATCAGGGCCTATCCAGCGTACGAAGGGCCCTCCATATTCGGCTGGCGCAACGGACAGTCGCAGTTGAGATCCACATGAAAGATACAGAATTCCATTACTTGAGATACAGAATACACAAAGCAGATCGAGAGATGTAACAAAACAGAATTCAGATATAAAAAAGGAAAACAGACGCGACAGCGCCAGGGGCCAGGCATGATGATGACGAGATGGCGAATAACAAGCAGACGTCGAGCCAAGGTCGGCGTTTGAGAGCCCACTGATCATCAACACACGCCCGAGTTATGGACGGGATCGTTGTCTGCTCCAGTGACTTGGCCGGTCCAGCATCAGCCCAGGGCGAAACTAAGCGAGCTTTGTTCCCTCTCGCCCTCGAACCAACCCAGCCCAAACGACATGCCCAGTCCCAGGTCCCCAGAAGCAACGGGTGCCCCGGAAAGCAGCGCACTCGATTCGGCGGAACAAGCCACCGGCGTCGGGAGCCCGAGTGAGACACCCCCACTGAGGGCAACTCCGACGTCTTGTCGCTCATCGATGTCCATGCCACCCGGATTCATTCCAACGGCGGCAGCGTCCTCGACTCCCACGCAGTTCAGAAACTCGTCCCACACACCGACCTGTTGCTGCACATCCTGCTGCTGCTGCAGGTCTTGCTGCACGACCTGCTGCAATTCTGATCGCAGCTGGGGCCGCAACTCTGGCCGGAGGGGTGGCAGCAATTCTTGCTGCAATTGTGGTGGCAGAGAGGGCAGCAGCGGAGGCTGGAATGGCGGCTGTAATGGGGTCTGCAAATCTGGCGGCAGTTCTTGCTGCATGGTACTTCTCTCCGCCATCGCAAGAGTCAGCGGGTGAGGCTTCGGCTTCGGATGCCCCTCCCTTTTTACAAGTATGCCCCGTCCGCTGTCGTTCGCACCGTCCGTCGGATCGAGCGCAAACATTCGACCAGGTGATACACTCCATGCTGCCCGGCGCGTTACATCGATCGATGTCCCCCGCGTTTGACCCTGGAAAGTGCCGTTCGCAGGCAGAATCGGAATGTCCGTGAATAGATGCCTGAGTGCCGGGACCCGGATGGAGCCCAATGGTGGAGGAGGGAAGGGTGCCATCGGTGGGAACGAGCCCGGTATTTGCGGAACGTAAAAGGACGACAAGACTCCGCCAACACCAGACCCATCTTCTTTCCCAGGGGTGTCGATGGCAAAAGCGGTGTCTCCAAAGTCAAGGTCATCCTCCCCGTCAGCATCGCTCGCACTCTCCAGCTCCCAATCATAGTACTCTTCGTCCATGAACATCAGCGCATCTGGATGTTGCAGACCGCGAGCAGAGAAGTAGTCGTCTGCTTCCTGAGCGACCAGAGACCTGATCAGCGCAGGGGAATAACGATTGCGGCTGTGAGCATGGTCGTCAGCACGATTCCTCCCGGAGACAAGCAAACTACTCACATATCCCACACTCTTACCCGGCACGCGATCTTCCAGGGTCCCCATGACATGCTATACCGCATATTTGGGTCGGGACCCAGATCTTCTGGGGGCCCTTGTGGGGCGTACCCCATCATCTGCGATGGAACAACTGACTCCACGCTCTGGGAGTCGGACGGGGTTTCGCCTTCAGGCTCCAGTTCGGCAGTGGCATACGTAACCACGCGAAGCCTACTTGATCGGCGACCTCCGCCGAACCCGAACTGCTGTTGCGGCTGCTGTTGCTCTTGATGCTGGGGGAGCATCGAACAATCGATTTCGCCCTCCGCGTCGATGTCATGTCCATCTCCCTCCCGATCAACGTCCATCTCCTGAGAGGCTGCTCGCAATTTGAGCCTGATCGCAGCCTCTTCAGCTTCCCTAGCAGCATCCATCATCGCACGCTGCCCTGCCTTCTGCCGCCGATTCAGCAGCGAAGTCCACTCATACGAGAGCGACACCGTCTGCGATTGACTTATTTCATGGAGCGGCAGATCGAACAGATAAGGTGCAAGCGCTGCGGGTGACGTGTAGCGCGGCGAGGGCCAATCCGACCACACAGCAGGCCTGGGGACGGACTTCGTGTGACTCGAAGCTAGTTCGAATGCCAACAACGCTGAGTCCATTTCTGGACTGTTGGCATTGCTGCTATTCCCCCCACTTGATTCGCTATAGGACGCGGCCATCGGTGACGGGGCAAAGGGCGAGGGCGCCAGCTCATCCGGCGACAGCGAACGCGGGCCCGAGTTCACCGGTGTCGTCAACTGCGGAATCTGAATCGGTGCGGTGGCCGGCTGCGTGACATCACTCGACTCGACGGTGGAAGTTACATTGTTCGTATCAGTGTCAACGCTCTCCTCGTCTGACCGGGTATCCATGGCTGCAGGACTGGGAGCTGGCATGTCGACTGGCACCGGGTCTGCGCTCGAATCAGCTGTGATACTTGTTGTCAGCTTCCACGAGGCAAGTTTTAGAAATTTACACACCCAATGGCATCTCGATGTCCCCCTCGCTCAAACCAGCAGGTGGTAAAACGAGTACATCGACCTCCACCGGCTCCGTCTTAACGTTCGCATCTTCACCCCAGGCCGAGCCTCGTTCTCGGACAGGGGAGCTCAAGGGCGATGAGTCTTGCATGGGACTTTCGCGACACTTGGGCTTGCTCTTTCCTCCGTCTTCTTTGGGATTAGGAGACAACGGCACCCCCATATCGATCTCATCTAGTCGTGCGGGAGCAGGACTTGTTCCTCGCGCTGACATCGATGGACTACGCAGCGTCAGTGGATTGGCATTGGCGGTGACAGGAGATGTAGGCGCCGAGGACGAATTATGCTGAGCTGACGACGATACAGGTTGCAATGCCGGAAGTCGCAATCTCATCTTCGAGCGGGCTGTCGAAGGCGTCGACGTACTGGGCTGTTAAACGGAAAGATTGAACGAATAAGATTGATTCCCCCCCCACAGCAGAAATCTTACCATTCCACCAACATAGAAAAGTGACGGATTGATCTTGGTGGATTGTCGCGTCACCCTGATCGACTCGAACTGCTGTTGTGCTGCCATGGTGCGGGTCCTCATCGACGGAGGGTTGCCCTTCCAAGACAATGTGCGTGTGTGGCTGCGGGTGTTGCGTCTGGAAGAACAGATGAGCGATCTGCACTACAAATACCACAGGACATACGAAGGAATAGCGCCCGAGGACAAGGATTCTTCATTATCAGACCGAGATGTGTTGCTTGATGTGGGAGAAGGTGCTTTGCCCTTGCCTTTCACCGAGGCGATGATCGACGGACGCTGATGACGTAGTTAGTATACAAGACACCCGGGTAATTCAGAAAGAGGATGGTCCGACAGAATAGATCACGGAACGTGTGGTAGGATTCACAGCACCATGCATTCGAAACAACAGTCATGACAAGTTAGATAAGCGCGCGTTGACAGAGCGCAGTCTGGACCAAGGCACCAAAGGACATGAAAGGACAGCATGAAAGCGAACTCACCTCTACCACGCACTTATCGCTCCTTCCTTTCAACCGTTTGTAGATAACGTCATCCTCATGCACGAGGTCCGGGCTCTTCCTCTTCTTCGTCTTCCCCGCCCCAGCGTCGCTTTCCTCCGTTGCATCGAGGTCCGACGAATTGCGTTTGCCGCGTGGAGTGTTCTTTCGGCGCTTCAGCTTCGCCTGTGCGGTGATGTGTCCGGGGACGGGGGAGACGGGTGGGAGACGGGAGGTCGAGGCAACCGGGTACGTCGGCGCGGCAAAGCGGGCACTCCGTCGCGGGCTCGGACTAGCGGCCAGAGGGTCTACTTGTTTCAGTCGTGGAGGTATGGGAGTGGAGGGATGGGGCGGCGTTGCGATGGAGGAAGGACTCGTCTTGGCTACGGTTCGTGGCGACATGGCCACTCAAGGTATAGTACGGATCTCTGTGTACCGGGAAACTGCCGGTGCTCTGTCCGTCTGCTGTCTGGCCGGGAAGACGGTAGGCAGGCAAGCTATGTAGGAAGGCCTCGTGGTGACTTGATGGGGTTAGGGTTCTCGTAAAACCGGGGGCACGACGCAGAAGGGAGAGCGGTAGTGGGAGATTGTAGTGGGATGGATGGTGGCGGAGTAGTGATGAGGATGTGCGGGAAGATGGGAACGGACTGTCGGGTTGGTACCTTGGCGCGGTCGGGGGCACAAGGCAAAAGCAGAAAGAGTCAGCAAGACGAAGTAGTCAACATACACAAATATCACTGGATGACGACGGCACGTGCCAGGCACCACTTGCTGAGCATTTACAGAGCCTCGTTCGCTGTAGGGGACAACGAGCGCGTAGGGCGGGAGGGCAGAGCAGATGCCGACACGTAGTATCGATTACATGTGTGGACGCGTGATCGCGCGCAGGCAATACCTTCCGTGGATCTACCATTATTGGCCAAGCCGCTTCGACCCCAGTTTGGGACACGGAGGATCTACGACATGGGAATCAGGCTCCCGAGGCTATTTATTCATTTTTATGTCCGCTCTGGGTTTGATCATCATGGATTGCATTTCAAAGTGCCTCGGACTCGGAGCCCGTCATTATATTCATCAAGTTCCATTCAGATGCCGAGTATGGGCCTACCAATTGTCCGAACGACGTCCAGGGACTCCTTTGGGGCGCTTAATGCTGTACCGCTAGATCCGGGCGATGCCGGTCGGGTCTCGACAGCGGCGGACCCACGATCAAGACTTCTTGCACATGAGACACACGCACCGCTCATCAGAACTTACTCGGTGGATCAGAGGGAGCATCCTCTATCAGTGTGTCATTCGAAGTCCTGCAGGATATCGAACAACGAGGTCCTGGGGGGGCAAGTTCCGCATCTCAAGCTTTGATGTCAGACAGGCACAAAGTCGAACACAATGTGGTTCTAACCAAGACCGGATCTGCTGTAGCACTCTAAACCAGCCTCCAATTGACTGCGTCCCAGAATTTGAGCCTGCCATTTCTTGTGTCTGTTGAGACCAAATGTGGAAATCCCTCAAACACAGGAAGGAACCAATTTGGCTATAAACACTCCCCCTTCGTATGACCATAGATGGTGAACACAAGGCTGGAAAGTAGTGCGGGTATATCCCAGCACATAGGGCTCCTGGCCATACATGGCAGTGTATAGGCTGTGAATTAAGAAGGCCAGATATGTTGTTGCCCCAGTCCAATTTCAGGGGTCCTTCTGGAACTGACTCCGATTTTAGTGTGTTTCGGGAGCTAATCTTAGAAGAATTTAAAAGAGCACTCAGAGATAATAAAACTAGATTATTTTTCCTTTGAATTATCATCTCAAACAATCGTTTAGGGGATTTGGTGTGGATAATCATGAATAGCTCTGCTCAGCCCAGCATTGGGCAGACCCAATATACTTACACTGTGTTACGTCCATCCAAACACCCCTATCCATTCCTGGCGTGCTTCTCCCCATGATAGCACATCGAGGAAGGTTATTTCTCTCTCCCAAACTTGTTCTGAGAGTCTCACAATTCCTCTGCTCTGTTCTCGATCAATCCTTCCATTCGAGTGGAAATGGTTCCAGAAGCCAGTGTTTGCATGAATCAGTGCGCACCCCAGCAATAATTTGACTGGAGCAGAAGGCGATCTCGGCGTCCTATTCGTAGTATACTCAAAAGCATGCACGCTAATATCTAACCGACAGATATGTTCGTTCAGATGATTGCACTTTACATGGATTGCAGTGATAGTGATAAGCAAATAAATAGTCAGTCCCCTCCATGCTACAAATCAAGTCTACGTACGTACAATCATCATCACATAGCCCGTCCACCATCCCATGACGTATTACTGACCCGCTTCGGATCCGGCGGCACGTCCAGTCCACCATAAACGTCCCCGGGTTCGTCGTCCTCGGAACCTTCCATCGCCGTTGCATAGCTCACGTAGCTCGCCTGGCTGGCACTGCGCATAGAATGTCCGCCGCCGCCCCCGTGACCTGTCGAACTCGGCGGTCGAGCATATGCTGACGGTGGGCTCCTGACCGCCATCATCTCGAAGTGCTGCTGGCTCGCCGGCGGCGACAGCGTCTGTGATGATGGTGAGGGTGGCACCTGCCGCGATCGCAACGTCGTCGCGATACTCGTTCTGCGACTCGGCGGTGTCGACGTCAACTCCCCATTCGGTAGTCGGTAACTTGGGGAAGGCTGTGGAGATGGGGGTGGGATCTCGGATGCAGAGTAGTACGACCCATGGGGACTGCTATGGTCCACTCTCGACGATGGCTGCGGCGCATACAAGAACTGCGCGGGCTCTGGCTCGCTCGGTGGAGTGTGGTCGCTGTAACCCATTGCCGGCGTCGCCTCGGGACTCGAGCTGTGAGCCAGCTGGTACCGGTGGTGCGACAGTTCTGATGTCGATCGGATGTGGCCGTTGTCAGGAAACATCGGAATCGTCTCGTGCGGCTCTTCTTGCTCGATCATCGTATCCGGTGGCGAAGTCGGATAGATCCCTCGACGATCTTTGCCATTGCGATGCTTGATGCCCAGTCGATCTTTGAGATCACCCATCACCCACATCTCCCGCACAATGTCCTTGTCCAAGGGCGAGTAGACAGTCGAGTAGTATTTAGAGATGAATCGCGGCGCTGCAGTCAGTTAGTGAGATACGAGTGAGCAATATCATGTCATGGGAGCGTACCGAGCGCAATGGTCGTCGCAAGCACGACTGTCGTCCAGAAAGTCAACTCGCCAAACAACACGATGAACTCGTTGATGAAGTTCTGGCTGACGAACAGCGAGAAGATCACAATCCAGATCATCATCACAAGTGTCGAGCCAAAGACCACAAGCCAGGTCAGTACAGTCCAGCTTGGGATCGTCAGCATGCTTGATGGTCCTCTATTCATTGTGACTCACTAGTGGGTATTGAGGCCGACAAATATGTTCGCAGCCATGATGGCTGACACAGCGCTCGTCGTTCCAAAGTCCGTCAACGAATCAATGTCTCGGCCATTCCAGGACACGGCCAAGCCCAAGCTCCACACCAGGTACGGCACGAAATAGATCACCGTCGACTGGTACAGCCCGTCAAACATGTAGATCCAGAACTTGGCACGGGTGTACTCGAGACCACGAATGCCACGGACATAGAGCTGGGGATAAGCCAAAGCTGCCCGGGCATTGATATCCTGGTCGAAAGCTAGAGGGAGTTTCAGCCAGTGCTCTCGAAGTCCAAGAGAATGAAGAAACGCACCACCGAGAACGATGACCGGGAGCGACGTGAAGACGAGATTGCACAACAAAATGAATGTGTAATGATACAGGTACGTCGCATCGAAGCTGTACCGATGAAATCAGCTCTAGCCTCACAGAAAAGCAAACGGCGACAACCGACCTGTTGAACGGCAAAAACCAGAACATCCCAAACGTCCAGATAACATTCTTGTAGAAAAAGTTGGCATGCATGTCCGCGATCCGCTGATACGACCACCGGCCATGCACAAGCAACAGCTTCGTCAAGAACCGGAACTGTCCGAACGCGTAATCCGCCGACATCGCTGCCTGCGAGCCTTCAAGCCCGAACAATCCGCAGCCGATGTTCGCTTCCTGGATCATCGCCACGTCGTTGGCACCGTCGCCGATAGAAAGTGTCATTGCGTTCCGACCTTCTTTGACCTGCAGCCGAGGTGTCAGTCAGAATGCGAGCCGAGGCAAATCCGCAGTACGCACCAGTTTGACGGTCAGAGCCTTCTGCGCGGGAGATACTCGACAGCAGACCACAGTTTCACACTGCGTGCCCAGGTTCAGGAACATCTCCTTCAGCTCGGGTGTCAGAGCGTGGGCCAGGGTATCGCCGTCAATGACGACAGCAAACGACGCCTGGGCGCCAGGCACGAATCCGCGCTTCCGTGGATCCCAGGAAGGAGGGCCAAGAACTGACGACAGTTTGTTCAGCGCAGCTTCGATCTGCGATCGCGCTTCCTGGAAAGAGCCTGCAGATAGAATCATGAGATCCATGTCCGACTTGAGCAAGTTGCAGCTGTATCCAATCTCGATGGCCGTTTGCAGTTTGTCACCTGGAGCACATGAGTTTTCAGCAAATGAGAGATCGATTGCCACACACCAGTCAAGATCCACAGCTTGATCCCAGCATTGTGCAGTGTCTCGATAGCCTCCGGAACACCTTCCTGCAGTTTGTCTTCCAGCGCCGTAGCTCCGAGAATGGTCAAGTTTCGCTCGATCTGATCACAGGCCGCCTCGATGGCATCGTCTCGACCCTCGGTTCGGCTGGCTGCCTCGTCGTAACTCTTGCTCCAGCTGATGTACTGGTCCTCCGTCAGGATTTTTTGGGCCACGCAAAGCGTCCGCAATCCACCGTTCGCGAAAGCCTCCATATCCCTCCGCGTCGATTCCATCAGCCCTTGCTCGTGGTCTTCCGCAAGCCGGGAATAGATGACGCTGTCAGCGCCCTTGCAGTACATGATGATGCGACCATCAGACGCCCGGTAGATCGTGCTCATCCGCTTCCGCGTCGAGTTGAATTCCAGCACACGGAGTAGCGTCCAGCGCTCAGTCTGACCCAGCACAGACAATTCGACCAGTTCGCGACCTTTGTTGACAAAGACAAATCCGACGTCACGGGCAGCGGCGACGAGGGCTGCTTCGTCGGGGCTTTCGGCCTTGTACTCAATGCGGATAGGTTCCTTGTTATCGTCGTTCGTGCTTCCCCCCCGTTTCTCGGCCAACACGCTGTGACACAAGGCCAGTGCGCGAAAGAATGCGACGAGATGCGGTCGTTCCGGTGAGTCTGGAGTCGCCAACGACGTTGCGAGCACAGGCGATACGAGGGTGAGCTTCTCCGTTTGCAGATACTGATTGGACCATGCTCGCTGCATGACATTCACCATCTGCTGCTTGAGGCCAGCCAATTTAGCACTGAGATCCTGGGGGTCCATGGCCTCGGCGTTGCCAGCTCGTGTGGCTGCCCCACGCTGGGCCTCGGTGACACCCTCTCCATATGCGATCCCATTCACAGAACATTTCTGGAATTCCATCACGTTCTGCGTCAAGGTGCCCGTCTTGTCCGAGAAAACGTATCTGGGCATGTCAGTATTTTACTCAATAAACGATTAGACTCGCTGCTCACTCGATCTGTCCCAAGTCGTCACTGATGTTCCACGTCTTTGGAACACAGGGAGTGTCGTATCCAGCGTAATACATGTCCACATCCTGTGAGATGAAGTACGCTTGGATAGTCTTGACGATTTCGATCGAGATATAGAGCGAGATGGGAACGATATTCTGGAATGCGATGATGCAGGACCTGTCCAACCGGTCAAGAGTGTAGCGAGTTACCCAAAGGATTCGACGAACACAAAAGTGACCAGTGCATTCAGCACGTAGAGGTTCGTCGGATCAGACCCAGCCTCATAGAAGAATTTAGAGGTATCAGTTTGGGCATCCTGAGCGCCGCTGATGATCGCGGCTACAACACACATGATCAGCAACACTCCGAAATTGACAGCCACATTGAAGTTGGTTTCCCGCTCAATCTGTTCGGGAGTAGATCAGCTACGCCACATCGCATCCCGAGCTAAACTTACTTTGCTACGTTTGCTCGGAGTATCACCACCATTCAGCATGATCTTAGTGTCAGATCCGGTGAACGCGACCAGTCCAACGACCCATGCGGTGTTCCGCAAAGAGCAGCCTCTAAGAAGCAATTCATTGATGCTGACAGGTTCCGTTCGCTCTTCAGGTGTCTTGTTGCCTAAGTAAAATGCGTCAGAGTCAAGTTCACGACATGAGCAGGTGTAAACACACCTTGCCCAAGCTGTCCCTGATCCCGGAGATGTTAATTACTATCGCTAGAAATGTCTGCATGAGAACGCACGTTCACCAACTGGGCCGAAGTAAAGTCACGGTAGCGCAGCACGCCATTGTACAGGTAGAGGTTCTGGCTTGGGGGTTCCGAGTCAAGAATGAACCGCATCCTCTGCACATCTTCCTCGTTGCTGGACATGCCTCGAGTAGCGGTCAATGCTTTACGCAGCTTCAGATCCCCTCGATATCAGACTCCGAAAAGGTATGAGGTTTCGCGCACACACCTTGAGATTGGTCTCCCCGTCCAGATTCTTGGTCTCGAGGTAACAGTTGCCATCTGGATCAGAGGTTGCGAGCACGATGATATCAGCAGGCACCTATTTGTGGGCTTGAGCGTCAGGGGCAACGAAAAGACAGCAGAGAGCGCGGGGAAGACGAGCCCGAAAGCGGAACATACCTGCTCGTTGTCCTTCAGGAGAACCACGTCCCCGACTTCCAGCTTCTTCCACAATGTCCTTTCCCATTGGGCTGCTCCAGGGTGGATGTTAGGGTCCAGGACCGGCGGGGGAGGATAAGAATGTGCGGTACTGTGTGTGCTGCCTGTATCTCCGTATCCATTCACACTGCGCGCATCCACGTTGAGCGTGCTCTCACTTCCAAACGGTGCAGAAGCAGCTTCAACTGAGCGGAGCTTGCGTACACCACGACTGACGGTGCCGGGCTTATTCAGGCCGAAGAGACGTTGGAAGAAGGAGCGTGGGTCCCGCGGCTGATTCGGATTCATGATGGGGAGACGGGTGGTGGGGGAGTTGTTTACTTCATCGTCAAGACGGCCCCGACGGTAGTCTTCGATGCCATCCTTGATGGCGGTGACGGTGAGAATGAAAGCGAGAGGGAGAACGGCTATAGCACCAGATGCAGCGCCAAAAACGGGGAACACTGTCGACAGCGATGATTAGCGTTCTATGTCCCGAAACACGCGCGCCAAAGTCCGGACAGTGATATCCGTTCGTCTGAAGCTTATAGTGACGTAGAGTGGGCATGGGAGACTTACGTTGTACGATGACGAGCACAAGGAAGAAGATGTTGGCGATTCGAGAGAACTGCTCCGTCAGATTCTTTGGGACGAAGGTGACGAGAGTGTACTCTGAGCAAAGGTAAGAACTGAGAGGTCTGCTGCATCGGAGAGAGGCAAACGCACTGGTAGTCCTGACTTTGTTTCTCGGATACCTCGCCGTGGGGTCGCCATTACTGTCCAACTCTCCTCGCGGTAGCGGTGTGTTGACATATATATTCCGGCGCCTTCCATTCGGCTTGGGCTTCCCCTCCTCAAACTTCCGTTCTCTGTCCTTCTCCCCTCGCAGCCTGAAGAATCTCCTCCGCCGGCGGACTTGGCGAGCATCAGCCACGATACTCTCTGCAATTGCCGAATGGGCTGTGCGGACGGTGCGCAGGCGAAGCTCGGGGTCTATGTTTTCTTCATCGTCGGAGTCGTGGTCGTGGTCGTCGCTACCACCCGCGGCTGGGTGGCGCTTGAAAAAGGACGACATGGGTGGGTATGAGTGATGGAAGGAGTGTGGAGGGATTCAGCGGGATCACCGAAGCGGAAAGCAGTTTGGCTGTGTTTGGATTGCGCCCTATTTCGACTGCTTATTGATCTTGTCCCGAGAGACTCTCAATCTTGGCTCACTTGGCCCTCTCAGCCTACTTGTAACCGGTGCCGTATAACTCTCGTCAGGGCCGCACACGGCGAGAGAGGATCTCGCTCCCTGCATAGCCGCTGTATCTGCGCTGGCCCACAGACGGGCCGCGTCAGCTTGATCGCTGTTACCATGTGTGTAAGAACGGTAGCATCATCAATGCATCACGGCCGCGCAAGGCATCCGCCGTACTTATTTAAGTTCATCCGCCGGATCCCATCTCGTAATCCAGTCTTGGTCTGACTGAACGTTGCTCACCGTGTGTTCTTTTGCTCGGATCATCTCTCCGATCCAGACTGGTTTCTACCATCTTAGGGTCTTGACATCTGAGTAAACGCAACCCAGGCAGAAAGACGTACAAGTGAGTACTCGAGAATAGTATCGTTCTCTGAACGCCGCATTGTCCGGCGGCCATCAAGAAGGTTTGAAGCCAGAAGCGAGACTGTCTTAGTATCTATTTATGCCCGATTTGCCCGAAAAGCCTGCTATGGAACCGCAACTTATTTTTAGTGCAAACCCTGGCAGCGGTCCGCCGCCCGATGCATGTGGATTGCGATTACCGCTTCTGGTTGTAGTGAGCGAACAGACCTAGCTTTTTATCTTTACAGGTAAATGCAGGCGACGGGTGATGAGATACGATCTGCAATTGGCGAGTGGTTATTTATGGACAAAGCTATATCAGGGCATAGTTGCCTTTTTAGGCGTGCAGATGTTGTGAGAAACCCGTTGAAGGGTCATATTGGGACCGACAGAGACAGCGTGATGGCACAGACTGTCGCTCTCGTGTCACTGGATCATTCCGATTGAGATCACCGATAGTTGAGGGTGTCTGTACCTCGGAAACGCCGTAGCAAAGCAACGGAGAATCCTCATGACGCTCACTCGTAACTGGCTCAGATATGGTGCGTGTTATGGATGACGAGAACGAAAACATCCGCAATGGGGTACAAAAAAGACGAAGACCAACGATCCCAAACAGAATGACACGCTACCGACCTCAACGCTTCTGATACACGGCTGCATTTCTGCGGTTCACATCCTGCTGGTCACCATTGATGTTCTCCGGTGCACTACGGCTGGTGCGCATCGCCCCATCACCCAGGTCAATGTTGTACCAAGACTGCACGTTTCCCTCCTTGGGCTGGGTGCCCCTTTCGGACTTGAGAAAGATATCCGGGGAAGGGGAACTGACTATGGAACCGTCAGTACTGAGTCACCGGAAAGGAAGATCCAGGTACCTACCGGTGAGAGGCAAAGTGCCTTGGGCGACGGACGTATTGACCAGATCTTGGATCATCGACTTGCGGATCGGAAGTGGATAGTGCATGGTGAAGAGCATCGTGCACGAGTACACCCGGGCAAGAACGAAGTAGAGCGCGATGATGTCTACCGCCTGCGTTAGGGGGGATGGGAGATGGAGATGAGACGAACGCACAGGTGGTGTGCTTTCCCATAACCCACGCAACCAGAGCGAGGATGCAAATGATGCTACCCGGCATCCCAGTGCTGACAAATGCTTTCCAGCCGCGGACGATGAAGCTGACAGAAGTCAGAACGAAAGCCTAGAACGGGCCCCTGAACTCACTTTCTCTTGGCCACAGACTTGACGGCGATGCGTTGGCAAACGGAGATCGACGTTATGCCGAACGCCGTGACGAGACTAGCGATGAGCGCAGTCCTATCATTCTCGTTAGCGCGCCTCAACCACCACTGGTTGTACAAACCGCTCACCAGATGAACGGGACGAGTTGCTCTGCATTGGTCCACTGCATGTATGCGCAAACCGCCACGGAGGCGACGGACCCAAGAAGTGTCTGTAATGCATGAGACAGGGGCCTCGCAACAGTGCAGAGAAGACGTACCACAACCAGAAGTGAGACAATCAGGGCCGTGCCGATGAGATGGTTCGGGATACTTGACCCTGATTGAGCAAAGACCACGCCACGGAGGGGAGCACTCACTTGGTCCAGAACTTTTGCAGGAGGTAAGACTGGGCGATGGCAGTCGAGGCAGTGCCCAAGACCAGAGTGCCGATGAGGAGCTTCCAGAACCGGCCTTGCACCTCGTCGTTATCCCCTGCGTAGTGTGTCAGTCCACATGCCGGAAACAGTGTAGAGAACAGTACCCCAGTGAGTGTCTTGCCACTAACGGAAAGGACGATATCAGCGAACAGTACCATCTCATCAAAAGGGCATGCGACGCACAAAGTAGAGGAAGACGCAACCGGCTAAAGTGCACGCAGTATCGAGCAGCAGAGTGAGGACAGTCCGGAACTTGTCGAACGCACCAGCGCCCTCCTTCGCCCGACGCGAGAGGAAGACGCAGGCCATCACGAATTCGAGTGTGTACAACAACAGGTTGACGCAGACAGCCGGCACGAGTGAGCTGAGATCATGAGCATCGGGGAACAGGAGACAACGCTGTAGACACCTACCCATATTCTTCGGTGGTCATGATGGTGCTGTATATGCTGAGAGTGAGAGCTGACACAGACTCCGCCCGGTCCCCAGCAGTCTTAAGTAGCACCAACGGTCTCAGACACAGTACATCCGCGCGCAAGAGGGGGAAGTGAGGTCTCGTTGTTCCGCGGGCGGCCACTCAATGAATGTTCTGCTTCGGGCGGATATCACGATATGCTGGGGAGCAGAACAAGACAGATTGCGGATTCTCGCATTGTGGCACTGGGAGACTGAAGTGGAAGATTGCGGCAGGACAAGCGACACAACGCGATCATGTGATCTGTGAGGACTTGAATGCCAAGGCAATGTCGAAGCTGCCGACACTAGGAAATACACGTCGATATGTGTGTGGATTGAATAATAGGAGACCTTTCTGCCCGAGAACGAGGTGCACCAGTGGCACCGCTGCCAGTATTGCTTCCGAGCTCAAGCCCGGCGACGGGACCGTCGTCAGAGCACTAAGTACTCTGGTATACACAAAGAAGAGCAGATCCAATTGCAATCTCGAATGATGTCGCGCGAGATAAGGCTGAATATCGTGCAAGACGTTGATCAACATGTACAAGGTGTAAAACAGTGTGTTCCTCTGTATCGTCTTCGCGGCTTCGAGCAAAAACGTGCGACCCATATCTACCTGTCCTCAGCCCATTCCTGGCGGATAGTTCAGCAACGACCTCGAGTAGAGGTTACGTCCACATACATTCTCCTTCTTGATCTGAGCTTCCTCCTCCGGCGTGAAGTCGTTGACGATGTTGAAGAGTTTGCGGATCTCCTCCGGCGTCTTGCCTTTGATCATATTCGCGACCGTCTTGCAGCCGACATCACTGCAGGTCAGAGATCACGACGATGAGCGCGGTGGTCAGACACGGGGGATGCGGGCGGCCTACAGAAGCGGCTTGATGTCCAGGTAGTTGGCGGCCAGGATGATCTCGAAGAGCATCTCTTGGTCGACGTTGATGAACTTCTGGTCCCACTCCGAGATATCGGTCGTCCGTTTCCGCGTATCGTCCTGAGACGACTCGGATTCAGGCGCGGGGAGGGGCTCGCCCTTGTGGTGCTCGCAGTACTCTAGAACCTAGACCAGGCAGTCAGCCAGCCCCGATGCCTATCGCGCGCAGTCGTGCGACCCTACCTTCTTGAGGACACTGGAGGACACGTTGGGGAGCGGAATGGGTTGGTCGGACTCGCCGACGTCTACATTCGGCATCATCGTAGTAAGCCCTGGGGAACTGCTTGCTACCGCCGCGGTACTACGCACCTTCCAGCATGTTCTTGATGAGCACGCTGCGCTCCACGATCTCCTTCTGGGTGACGAAGGACTCGTTATCGGAGGTGACGAGAGTGACGGGCATGCTCGACGCGAGTGACAAACGAGAAAGGCAAGTTGTGTGAGTAGATGATGAGCAAGACGCGTCTCGGCTGTTTACGTCCGCGAATCGTGACTGATGCGGCACCGCTTCGCCGGGACAGGGCCTGACTCGCCTTGTTCTTTTCACAACGGATCCACAGCACGATCCGTATCCTGCTGCTTGCTGCTGCTTCTTATCCATACTGGCAGCTTCTGTCTGTCTTTCTCACCGATATTCCGTAAATCCGATTTTGTCTTCACTTCTGGATGTCACTTCTGGATGTCCTTCCCTCTCGATTGAATCTCTCTCCGTTGGCCAACTCACATCTCTTCTGAGAGCTCGCCGCTTTGTCACTCAATCTCGGCATGTGATGTATGGTCATGTCCGATCATTTTGGGAAAAGGAAACGAAAGCCGGAGAATCCTTCCAGTCTCACCGTGACTTTTCCCGGTCTGTGATTCCCTGGCTACGGGAACGAAGAGCCGTCAATTCGCCACTGGCCAGGGAGATGGCATCCCGCCAACTGGACACATGACAGCTACTTACCCATCGGCGGTCTCGACGTCCTGTCGAGTATGCTTTAAATCCTCGAAATCTCGGTCCTCAGGTCCCAAGCATCACCTTCCCGCATTCACTCACCTCCCTGCACTTCGCAATGGCTGCAAGGAAAATTGCTCTAGTCACCGGCGCAGGTCTGTTTCCTTCTACACATATTATACCTTCTCCGCCACACCCATCTGAGTCTGACAAGCCCAGGGCATCGGGCGCGAAATCGCGAGGCGCTTGGCCAGCGATGGGTTCGACGTCGCGCTCAACGACCTCGCGTCCCAAGGCCCCAGTCTCGCGAAGGTCGCTGCTGAGATCGGACATAAGGGCCGCTTGTGTACTTCGCACGTTGCCGATGTCACTGCAGAATCCCAGGTCAAAGCGATGGTCGAGGAGGTCGTCGACGTGCACGGAGGACTCGATGTGGTACTAAACATTTCTCTCCATCCTCACACATATTTGTCTGAAATCTCGGCTGGAAGATGGTCGCGAACGCTGGAGTGGCTCCATGGGGCTCGATTCTCAAAGGTAGCACCTTTCCAAACATCGTGTTTGGAGGGAAATTCATCCGCGTTCTAGTCGATGCGACAGAATGGGACCGTGTCATGGCCGTTAACATTCGTGGAACTTTCCTGTGCTACAAATACGCTGGTCGCCAGATGGTTGCCCAGGGCCGCGGAGGACGGATAATCGGCGCCTCATCTGTTGCAGGAAAGATGGGCAAGTTCTGATGCACGAATAGGTGTCAGTTGGCGTTGACAGACCGAATAGGCTTCCCCTTTCTGCCGGCGTATTGCGCTAGCAAGTTCGCGGTGATGGGCCTGACACAGGCAACAGGTGAGCATGCCATCACAGCCCCAATCTGTCAAATTCACTCGCTGCATTCAAGCCCAGGAACTAGGAAAACACGGCATCACCGTGAATGCATATGCCCCGGGACCGCTCAATAGTGAACTGAGTACGTTCCGCCGGTAATCGCCGGTTCTCTGATGGGTGAATTACCTCACCAGTGCAATCTCTTGCTTCCGACAGCCCGCAAGATACTGGCACATCCGTCGAGGAGTGGACCGAATTTGTAATGTCTTTCATTTTGGACCCGAACCTGGGCCTCATCTGACAGAAATTATCGCCAGATGCGTAAGATGATCCCTATGGGCCGCTTTGGGTCAGTCGCTCCGAATGATCAAACAGCTGTGATCTAACCGGGCCGATTAGCGACTTGACGGACATCTCCGACCTGGTGTCTTTCCTCGCGTCCTCGGGCGCCAAACACATCACCGGTCAGTTCACTCCCATACGCATGTTACACCATAACTGAACATCATCTCGGTTCCAGGGCAAAACGTGAGCGAATTTCTCTACGTACCAGCCAGACTTGAGCTTCTGACAATCGTCTTACAGATTTCAGTCAATGGAGGGTCGCACTGCAGTTGAAATTGTTCACGTCTTGTAAACGGCCCGAGTCGCTAGCCCTATACTTCGTCTCGATTCGCCACTGTGGTTAATATTAAGGATCAGTTCACATTCTAACTTGTCCGCCGGGAGTATCTGCGCGGGAGAGTCATCTTGGCTTGCGATGGAACGTAGCAAGAATCATGCCCAACTTCACAGTGAGAATCGCACAGGGGGGAGGCTGTGACCCCTTCGACCCTTGTTTCGATACTTCAACTCCTTCCTCGGCTCTGTCTCATTTCCGCTGCCCAAGCTTCAACTCCTGAATTCCAATTGGGATACATGACGCTCTCGGACTGATCATGAACAGATATATAGCCAACCGTGAACGGCGAACCTGCTCCTACGATCTGAGCGAGCCATGCATGGAAATTGGTGCCCGCGAGCAATTTGCGAAGTACAAGTCCCCGTGAAGCAGTGATGAACGCGACTAGCACAGACCCGTTTCAAACCAGACCAGTGCTAACCAGGTTTCAACCCGTCTATAAAAACACAACTGTATCGTCCGTCAATAAGAATCCCACATCTACCGCTGACTGCCCCATAATGTCTGTAAGGAAGATTGCTTTGGTCACAGGTGCCGGTGGGTCTTTATGAAAATCCCTGCGTTTATCATTCTCTGAGGAGTGGACAGCCCAAGGAATAGGGCGAGAAATCGCCCGGCGTCTGGCCAGCGATGGCTTCGACGTCGCAGTCAACGACCTTGCCTCCGCAGCTCCAGCCCTCGCAGAAGTCGTCGCCGAGATCAAGGAGAAGGGACACGTAGCATCCTCGCACGTCGCCGATGTCTCTGTAGAGTCCCAGGTCAAAGCGATGATCGAGCAGGTCGTCGACGTGCACGGGGGTCTGGATGTGGTGCGGCTGATTTCTTGTTTTTCTGCGTTCTGCATCGCTCTGATCGAGCGCAGATGGTGGCAAACGCCGGGATAGCTCCCTGGGGCTCCGTTCTCAAAGGCACGTCGAAGGCTGGGTTTCTCGGACGACCCTCACCAAACGCAGTGGATGCGACCCACTGGGACCGCGTCATGGCGGTCAACGTCCGCGGAACGTTTCTCAGCTACAAGTATGCGGGCCTGCAGATGGTTGCGCAGGGACGCGGAGGACGCATCATCGGTGCCTCTTCCGTCTCGGGAAAGATGGGTGAGAGCCGAGATCCACCTCTTGATTGGTCTATCAGAGGCTGACCAGCGGGCGACCCTTAGGCTTCTGCTTTCTGCCGGCGTACTCTGCGAGCAAATTTGCTGTTATGGGTTTGACTCAGGCGACGGGTTTCTGGTTGAATCTCTTTGATCGGTCTTACGCTTATTTTTGTTTTCCCAGCGCAGGAACTGGGGAAGTTCAACATCACGGTCAACGCATATGCTCCAGGGCCACTGAACAGCGTCTTGAGTTGACTTATCTATGCAATCATTGCCCAGTCCAGAGCTGATCAAGTCACAGTGAAGAACTTGGCCGAAGAAGGACCTGAAGACACCGGCATGTCCGCAGAAGAGTGGACTGACAAGGTATATGGATGTACGTTCAATGACGGATCGCTCACTGAAAAGTACTGTTAGCTTCGCCAGACCAGTCCGCTAGGACGCTTCGGGTCAGCAACCACCATTATCTCATTTTTTTTTCTGATCTGACCTGATTTCTAGTGAATTGACGGATATTTCCGATCTTGTCTCGTTTCTCGCGTCCTCCCAAGCAAAGCACATAACCGGTGAGCTCGATCTTGAGAGTCGCAGTCAAATCAGGCTTAAATTGGATCAGGGCAAAATGTAAGCCGTGTTTTGAGCCTCGAGACTTGCTTGAACGCTACTCAGATCTCGGTTAACGGGGGATCTCATTGTAGTTGATCGAAGCGCTGTGGTTCCACTGAATGTACATGGTTCAATTATGTGCTCAGCTTTTTGGGCTGCTGGCTCCACTTGGGCAGATGGTGGGTCTGAGGAAGGGCCATGAAGGAGCGGACCGATCCGCGAACTCGAACTATGGCCATCAATCCCATTTCCTTTTTGGGCGAAGACAAAGCGATCGGTGCTCGACACGTGGCCGTTTATTGTCTTTGACCTTCACTCATCTGAGAGCACCAACAATAAGATCGAGCATGGATCACAACGTTCCTCGTTAGGGATGGCATTTTCTTTTGTTGTCAAGCTATGGCCCGGCCCAAAGAAGCTCTCATGCTGAGCGCTTCCCACTCCTTTTGTTTCGCGCCAGTATGAATACTGCGGCGCAACAGTGAGTTCTAATCAGCAAGCCCCGCGTCTCACCGAGTCCCCCGCTTCTACTCCTGTCCTTTCCCCGCGCCTTCAGCTTAGCGACGCTCCCGCCTCGACGATGTCTTACTCGATGAAACACGCGTACCCTGCGCCCCCTCCGACCACGAACGCGTTAACCGCACATCAAAGGACTCAGATGCTGCGCTCCACGCAGAAGCTGGGCCGTTTACTCGGAAGCACCCCAGCTTTGCTCGAAGAGACGGACGAGATGCCCTCGACGCGTGCGTTCTCCCTATTCTTCTTGCACCCCTCGTTGCTCACCTCTGACCCAGTCCCTCTCAACCTGCAACGTCTCGCCGTTCCGGTGCACGTCAGCCTGTCCTCTGTCTACAGCGACGATGCTGCTTTCGGGAAATACGCGTCCGCGGACACCCTCTCTCGCACATCGTCGAGGTCCGACTCGGATGCGTCATCATACTACGGGCGCCAGTCTTTCGACTCTGGCCGCAGCGCCGCAACAAAATCCGTCCACGTAAACGATGGGTGGCCTACTGTCGAGCGGCCCTACCTCCGTGTTGCTGTTCCCTCTGCGAGACTCGATTGCATTCCGCAGTCCCCGACCGGCACTCACAGTCCTCCGCCGATGTACTCCCGCGATGCCCCGCCGCACAGCGGCTACACGTTGTACCCATCCGCCGGCCCCGTGACCCCGCCGTCGCCGCTGCAGTCCTTCGTCGTGCCCTCGTCGACCTCCGTCCGGCGGCAGAAGATGGACAAGCTGCGGCGCACGCTGGGCGACGGCGTCCCCATCGACATGGTCTTCCCCGCCGACCGGGTGCCCACGTACGACAACTCGTCCTCGAGCAGCTCGGACGAAGACCTGCCCCGCGCTGTGCGTGCCGCGCCGCGCATCCGCAGCGCGCGCGACTCGATGCTCGTGCCCACCGACGTGCCGCGCCAGCAGCCGGCGGCTCCCGAGGCGCGCAAGCTCAGCATGATTGCTGAGCGGGAGGAAAGCGGCGACCGCGCTGCGAGGGAGTCTGCGCGGTACCACGGGGACACCGAAGACGCGCATAGGCAGTCTCGGCGCCAGTCTCGCGTCAAACGCGTGCCGGCCCCCCGCGCATGATGATTTCAATCCACTCCTTTGCGTATACATAGCTCATCGACCATCATTTGTATAGTACCAGCCGCATCTCTGTTGTTTTTCTTCCTTGCATTCTATATTTTTACAACTGCTACTACTATTCCATACATGAATATTCGACAATACCAGGTGCTCTTGTCTCTTCTCGATCCCGAGCGCGTTGTGAGACTGTTCTTAGCTGAGGGAATCAAGACGAGGATCTGAGTGCATCTCTGCTTCTGCTACGAACGACGCTCTACTCACTTGAGTACATATGGCCGGGAGCACCTGTTCACAATTCACACTCCTCCGCATTCCTCATCCACCCGTTCTCTGAAGATCAAAAGCCATGGGCACGTCTCTCATCATGTAGATGGTTGGCGGCAACCCTTGGCATGCGGTGCCTTCTGTGTGCCTATCCAAGCGCGATCATCTTCGGGATTGCCTTCCCGGCGTCACACAAGTATATGCGGTAGTAACACAGTCCGCTGAACGACGCTTTACAACTCGTTCACAGGTGATCGCAGAGGAGGAACTGGAACGTGATAAAAACAGATGATCGTGGTGCACAGCGCTGTGAACTAGGTGGGTGTTAGGATGGGCTTTGGATGGTGTGCTCAAAGTTGATGTTGATGATGATCTGTACCCTTCTTCTTTGTGTCCCTCACAGCCGCTTTCCTCCTCCTCCTTTTAGCAATCTCCGCTGTCCTATTCGCCTCTTACAAGGCCCGGAGATGCGCGTACCTCCAACCGCTCAGAGACCGGATACGCCTGAGACGATCCTGTGCGGCACGCACGGCTGCCCACTCGTAACCGCGCCCGTTCGACGCGGGGCGCCGGGGCCGATCCCCACCACTGTTTCGAGATACGCGATAAGTATGAGGAACTCGGGCGCGCTCATCCGTGTCCGGCGTCGGTATGGCTTGTAGAGACGCGGATGGGGGAATGCCGCTCGGCGCTTGGGCTGGGAGGCGGTCGTACGCGTCGGGTCGACCTCAGTGAGATCTAGTTCAGGAGCAGGGCTCGGCAGGGCGCGCTCCGGTCGCGGAGTTGGCAGGGCGCGCTCGCTCTACATAAGTAGTGTGGGTGAGATGTGGCCGTTAGACAATGATGCAAGAGTGGACCGGTGCTATTTGATACCAGGTAGACTCTGAGGACAAAGTCAACGTTTGGACAAGGGAAGGAGTGTCTAGGCTAAAGGACGTAAATGCCTAGATGCGTACCTCCGTGCCGTCGTCGGCGCTTCGTAAGCAGGGGCTCTCCGTTCTGACTCGAGTGACCTTTCGCTCGCGTCATTCGGTCCTCAGTCCAAAACCATCACATCGACAGCCCAAACTTTGTCCCACCATGGATGCAACAGCGTTCCCGTTCGGGGATCCCCCGGTCTTGCAGAACAGCAGAGTGAAGTTGGTGCCCTTCGATGTGAATCGTACCCGAAAGTCATTCACCCCGCTGTGGCGCTCATCAAATCACCTCTGTAGGCCACACAACACGGGATCGAGTTCGGTCGTGCCATCAACGCGCATCCCGAAATGTTCGCGTATCTTCCTTTCGGGCCCTACGATCAGCCGCAGGGCTTTGTCACTTCGCTCTTCGAGGGCAGGATCCAGCGCGATCCGAACAGCTTCCTCTTCGCTGTCCTGGCTAAGACCAAGGCCAACGGCCCGGGAAACGACCCTCAAAGCGCCTGCGATGACTCAGAGTCGGTAGCTTGGCAGCTCGCAGGCACGATCGGGATCCTGGAAAGCTCCGTCCCTAACAAAAGCACGGAGATCGGATTCGTCTTCGTCCTGCCCGCCTTCCAGCGCACGCACGTCGCCTCCAACGCGATCGGCCTGCTCCTGCATTTCCTGCTCGATCTGCCTGATGCGGGGGGACTCGGCCTGCGCCGCGTGCAGTGGAAGGCGAATTCGGAGAATCAGAAGAGCATCGCCGCTGCGGAGAGGATGGGGTTCCGCAGGGAGGCGGTGATGCGCTGGCATATGGTGCTGCCGGAAGGCAAGACGGCTGGCGGGGTCCCGCGCGCAGGTGACGCTCGGGTTGGACGGCATTCGGTGCTTCTGGGTTTATGTTGGGATGATTGGGAAGGCGGTGTCCGTGCCTCCGTCGATGCAGTCATGGGCCGGGTAGCTTGATGATAAGTTTGTCTTCGTCTGATCAAGTGTCTAAAGCAGAGCTATGGGTACAAAGCAGTTTGTCTAGAGTAATAAATACCAACCCTATAAGAAAATCCAACCAAATCCAGCTATTGCTTACCACTCATCTTCAACTTCTGCAAATCGGCATAGGATCCGGACCGACTTTTCACGCCGGTGCTTGTCCCACCGTTGGACGAATTTGGGTGCAAGAATTGACTCAGACCAGGGATGTAGTTGATGACATTGTCGTAGTCGCCACCATCCTCGTCGTCCGAATTAGGTGCGGTGGCAGAGGCCCGGAATCCAAACAGCCGTTCGTCGATCCAGGTCATCGGATGTGTCAGCCCCAGACCTTGAGCATCGACAGCCCCGTTGCTGCTCTTCCGACGCCATATTCCCTGACTTCCGCTCGACGGAGGAACCGTCGCCGATGGGAGGAGAATGCGAGCCTGACGCAATTCAACGTTCGGAAATCCAAACAAAATGATCAACACCCACTTCATCAAAATCTTCGTAGATTTGGGGTCCGAATTCGTTGATAAGTTCAGACACTTCGTTGGAGAGATGAACCCGCATCGCCTTGAGTTTATCTAGCGATCGTTGTTGGCCAGGGATCAATGCAACGATCAAGGGTGGAAGCGATCTTGGATGAATGAGCATCGTATGTTCAGTTTGAAAATAGATACGAACTTCAGAACATCCATCCCAGCCTCGCCGAATTTCAAGGCAGCATAGCTCATGAGAGGAACTCCAATCAGGATAGCAAATGGCGCCATCACGCGCAATTTTGTGCTCGCGTTGGCGCGAACCGCGAGGTAAGCGCCGACCGCAGCGTAGAGCATATATAAAACCGGCGCGACACCCATCGAGATCAGCACTTTCCATGTCGCCAGTACGTCACGGGCTGCAATTTTGACCCGGGATGCAGCGAGAGCCGCTAAAAAAAGGTCAACAAACTAGTAGCTTGACGGGATAAAAAAAGCTAACCCTTTGCCTTCCGCCTTGATATTATGGAAGCAAGGATGAATATCGGGCTGTTCAAGACGACACCAGGAAGCGCAAAAACGGCCCAGACGAGAAGAAGCCCAGTTCGGTAAGTCAACAAGGCGAGTGTCTTCCACCGTGCTTTCTCGGCACGAGGCACCTGGGGAAAAATCACATGAAATCAAGTTGTAAATTCTGAGAGGTCAAGTTGGCTGACCTGATGGTCTCGTAGACCCATATCCCGCACCCGCCTATTGTACTGAAGCACTTGCTTTCGCAAATTCTGGATCCTCGGCTCATCCTTGAAGTGCTCATATCCTTCCAGCAAACGTCGGTTCAATTCTACAACTTGCCCAAGCGTGAGATGCTGGCCCGGTGTCTTGTACAGTCGCCGGGCCGCTTGGATAACCTGAGTCGGGAATTCGAGAAATTTCAATTATAGCGAAGCAGAAACAACTGACCATCAGCGTTTCGTAATCGGGTGCCCGTACGGTCACTGTTTTCAGACCGTTGAAGATGAGATCGAGAAACTTGGCAACGGCTTCTCGCTTTTTTGTGCCTCCCTGCTTGAACATCTCCACCAACTCGGGCGGAACGTCCATGGCGCGCCCGAACTCGACGACAGCGCGAGACCGGAATTTGTGAGCGTGAAAGTATGACAGTCCCACGGGCACAATCTTGACGCGAACATTGGGATCATTGGCCATAGCGCCGAGGGCCATTATGGACACCCCGGCTTTGAGCGGCAGCAGATCCGTGCGGTCGTGACTACCACCTGAGCGTCCATGAGATTGTGGCCTCATCAGTTCGTTCGATGCATGCAGCCCACACACCTTCCGGAAAGATCCCAATGCTCCCTCCTCTGTTCAAGCAGTCGTACACATGCTGATACATCTCCTGCTGATCGACATGTGGCAACCGCTTGAAGTCCAGCCCACTGGAATCTTCCTCCAGCGCGTCCCTTATCTTGTCCGTGCTCTTGCCGGCATCCGTACCGAACTCTTTCTTGATTCGGAGCTCTGTGTCGGAAATAACCTCGGCAACTTCGGCGAACGCGCTCCCGGCTGTTTTGGACAGCATGATTTGCATGCGAGGCGTGAACTCAGCGGTGAAGCTCGTTCCTTCGCCTATAACCAAGCATGGATCATCGGGGGAGAGGCGGACGCGGCCTGTGCCGGCTTTCGCGTAGTCGGCGGCGCGCAGAACGGGAACTGCTGCAGTGTCAGGGTCTGCAATGGACGATGAGGGAGGGAGTGAGACGCACTGCTGTTGATGAGACGCGCGAAGAATCCAATCACCAGCCGCTCCATGCTCGCCTGCGCGACCAGGAACTGGACCTGTCTCCCCGACTCCTTGAACACTTCCAGACCCATCAGGAGATCGAGAAACTGTCCCGCAGTGAGGAAGGCAGCCGAGAGTCAGAGGCATTGCGCACCTGATTGTTGTGGGGCGCGCCGACGAAGATGACCGGCCCATCCTTGGGGATGTTGAACGAACCTCGCGAGCGGATCTCCCTGAAGAAGATACCCGTCACAACGCGCCAGAACGTCATAACAGCAGCATATTGGAGATCAGAGCTGGGCTTCGACCTGGTCGGTGCCACAGTTGCGGGCATGGTTGGTTGTGACAATAGGGCGCAGGGCAAAGTAGAGCAAGTTCTGGTAGAGTTCTGGACTCGAGCCCAAGACCTGATGAGAGTGTCACGATGACGTTCGTCGCTTATGTCATCGAGCATGCACTCACCAGTCTTCCCACTCTGCCCACCACCGTTCATGACAAGGACCACGATGACCGAATGAGCCCTTGCGCAGTCGCTTCAAGTGGTTTCGAATCTATCTCGAAACTTATCCGAGCAATCTCACTCAATCCGAGTCGGGCATCGAGAGTGGACGTCTTGACTAGACAGCTAAATGGCCTCGCCCACTTGAAAATGCAACGAAAATGACACGGCCTGAGACTTTTACGACTGCAACAATCCTTTTGAGTCTCCTTCCACCCAAGCGGCTTTCTCGCGGCGTTTCGCGCAGGACGACATTCTGCAGCCCTTCGTTTCCCGTGTGCCGTCCGCGCTCATCGTCAACGCGGATGCCAGCGTAGAACGCACCGAGAATAGGGTGCCAGGAGCGAGGACACATGAAAACAAGGCATTCACCGAAGCTCCATCGCCTTTGGCATAGATTTCTTGCCGCTCACCCTATCAGGACATGAACGAAGTCTGTAGGCTCTGCGGCGACAGTGTGTGATGCCCGCTCTGGCGATGTGTAGAACTGGTTGGCGATTGATATGGCACCGCGTGATACGATCGTCTTCCATACGTCGTCTACTGGAACCACCCACTTTCGCCAAGCACTTTGCCAGTCACCCCAGCTCGAGGACCAACGGCCACGAGTTTCTCCGATTCGTTGTCCAACGATCTTCCGCACTGTCGTCCGAGTGCGCCCCCGGTCACTGTTTCCAAGCCCGGGAGATTTTCGGAGCCGGGGAAGGGACGATCTGGATTGACTATCTGAATGACGCCACGGGTGCCGTACCTTGGTCCTCGTGGTCTTCTGGGTTATTCTCGTCGCTCACTGTATCGTGAACCTTCTCTCTGTTCCTCACCCAGTGCTCGTTCAGTGCGCTCCGGATCTCCCACGACGGGTTCGTCCACCCTATGCACAACACTAGTCACCGCAGCTCCAGTGATAGATTACCCAGTGCTGACGAGGCTACACACCACTAGCGCCAAGACGGCACTGGTTCCTACCCCCGATCTCATGCCCCACCCTGTTTTTGTTGAGACTCCCCCAACGCACAGCTCAGTCTTTCCCTCTAATCCTCCCGGCTCCGAGCTCGTGAACTGCATTGACCCTCATCAGAGGATCTCATTTGATCACAGATCTGGAATGAAGCCTGGGGCGTAGGATTCAGCTGACACGCCGCCTACTCGAGTCAGAACGTGGACACTAGACCGTCGTCTTGTCAGAACAGTCTGAGTGGTGGCCCGCTTACTCGGTCGAGTAATCATGTGTCCTCTTTACACGACCTTCGTTGAGATCCCTTCCTAGATGATAATAGTTATGCTCTACTTTCAAGTCGGTTTAACTCAGAAAGTCTCGTGCCCGCTTATGTGGCAAGTGGTCAATGACGTCACGCGCCGGAAATCATTTGTAATCACAGAGAACCAAACGCGCGTCCTCTCATTGCACGGCATCTGTTGGCATAAGAGCACATAAGAGCACATCTTTTTACTCCAGTTTCCCCACAGCACGTACCATGAGCAACTTCCCCAAACGCAAGATCGGAGGTGTCGAGGTCTCTGCTATTGGATTCGGCGCGATGGGCATTGGAGGCATCTACGGCCCCGCTCCGCCTGATTCCGAGCGTTTCGCGGTATGTGATCCTCCTGCAGTAGCAGCCTTGCTTATGCCTCTCAGACTCTGGATGCGGCGTATGCTGCAGGGTGCACGATGTGGGACACGGCGGACATTTACTTCGACTCCGAGGACCTTATCGGTCAATGGCGCGTCTCTGATTACATCCGCATCCCCTAGCCCCTGATGCATCCACCCAATTCAGGTTCAAGCGCACCGGCAAACGCGATGAGATCTTCTTGGCTAGCAAGTTTGGCTTCATCGGCATGTCGGGCGACCGGGTGATCGATGGGTCGCCGGAGTACGTGCGCACGGCGGTCGAGAAATCGCTTTCGAGACTCGGTGTGGACACGATCGACTTGTACTATCTCCACGTGCGTTTTCTCGCTTGTCTGCCGGTTCTTCCTGTGGCTGATCGGTGGACAGCGCGCGGATCCTACGGTTCCCATCGAGGTCTGGATCGCTCACAGCGGAATGCCACACTGGTCGCTCACCAAATGTTTTACAGAAAACGGTTGGTGCAATGGCTGAGCTTGTCAAGTAAGCATCCGAGCCTCCTCGTGAACATGCGCTGACCACCTGCAGAGAGGGCAAAGTGAAACACCTTGGTCTCTCGGAGGTCTCCGCGAACACGCTCCGGCGCGCGCACGCCGTGCATCCGATCGCTGCCGTCCAGGTCGAGTACAGCCCCTTCACGCTCGACATCGAAGACCCGAAGATCGCGCTTCTCAAGACGTGCCGCGAGCTCGGGGTGACAGTCGTGGCATATTCGCCGCTGGGACGAGGACTTCTCACCGGGGCCTACGTGCGTCAGGCTGTATTTTTTCCCGTGACATGAAGTGTGTCTGATCGCGTCTGAAGAAATCCTCTGCCGACTTCCCGGAGGGCGACTTTCGGCTGTTCATCGAGCGGTACAATGAGAAGAACTTCCCCAACATTCTCAAGATCGTGGACGGTTTGGGCAAGGTCGGGGAGAAACACCAGGCTTCCTCGGGCCAAATCGCACTCGCGTGGCTGCTCGCCCAGGGAGAGGATATCATTCCGATCCCCGGGACCAAGAAGATCAAGGTCTGTTCGGTATTCAGTTCATCAGCCGTGGGTGACTCAACGCTGCGCAGTATCTCGAGGAGAACTTGGCGGCGATCAAGATCAAATTGTCTGACGAAGAGACTGCGGCGATCCGCACGCTTGCCCTCGAGGCGGATGCCCAGCAAGGTGAACGATACCCGCCTGATCTGGCAAAAGTGTTGTTTGTGGAAACTCCGGAACTGTAAATCATAATATGTGAACTGTACTGCAACCCTCCAACAAAGAGACGGGGCTGAATGTATGCCCTGAGACAAGGCGTCACGTGTACCGTGTTTTACTATGGGCGGCGTGTCGATCCCATCCCAATGTTGTTGCAGAGATCCTCCTTCCGCCTTCAGGTCGGGGCAGCAAACGCGATTCCCATCTTGGTTGTTGTTCATATCGGTGCGTTACTTTCCCGCCTCCCCTTTTGCTTGCACCCGCCCCACGCAAGTGTTGAGAATGGATAGACCGCAATTTCATTGCAACACCCATAATTTCATGACACCTATCTTTCCATGAGAAGATCGGCGCACGTGGGAGAATCCCGCCTGTCAGTGTTGAGAGCATTGAGTAAGGCGGGGCACTGTGTGACGTGTGGACTGATGAGCATGGCACACCGAGTGTCACCGACTGATCTGCGCACAAGGTCGGCGTCTAAGCCTGCAGCGGTAACCTAGAGAATCGAGATCGGATGGGCTTCATGCTGCATTTGATTGGAAATATCTTCGCAGCAGAGCTTGGATCTGGTCAACGTGCAACCAAGAGGAAGGAGTTGGACGGTTAAGTACACGGGACGGCACGTTCCACACCTCAGGAATAATCAGATATCGGCCGGGGACGGCTACTCCATGCGCCCAAACTTTTAGAGTGTGCTGTAACGAGGCGTGGCACCATCACGCTGTCAAGAGTTGGGACTTCAACTCCAACGAGGGTCAATCTAGAAGCCGCCGGCTTGATTGCCGCATCATCGTCGTGTCTGGTATTCCTGACGGCGGCCGTAGCGGTCCAAACGATAGTGTAGATGGAAACAAGGTCATGCCATTCGTGGTACAAACGATGATACATAGCAGCGAGAATAATAATACAGTGATCAAAAGCGGCCGTCCTCATGGGCGGCTCTCTGAGTCGGAATCAGGTATAATAGCCTCCCCATCCGTGATAGACGCCCGGCCAATAATTTGGGGCCTGGTACGGGCTGTAATGAGGGAGACTCGACGGCCGTGGGGTCCACTCCGAGCCATTCTCGTCGAACTGAACGCGCCCGTTGGAGTACTGCCAGACGGTGGTGCGCGGAGACGTCCATGTCGCCACTGGGGCTCCGGCGGTGGACAGAGGGCTGGGCGGAGCTGGGATCATGTACGGAAGCGGATTAGACACCTGGTGCATCGTGTGCGCAGGTGATATGTCTGCGAAAGAGAGATCAGTCCAGGGTGGCTTTGGGTGATTGCTGCCGCGCACGATAGTAGGCCATGCGTGGGTTGCAGTGCGCACAGCGAGGGCCGTGTGGGCATCGGGGAGCAGGAGGCGTAGAGCGGCAAAACCACATGTCCGATGCGTTATCGCTCGGGTGAATAGGTAGGATTGGAGGCGGATTACAGTGTGGTGACGGCCCTGGAAATGAACGCGCGCGCCTTTAATAGTTCGTTTGGGTGGCGGGAAAGTACAAGACGGCGGTCCTGCATTGTGCTCGAAGAAGGCACGACTTGCGCATGCGGCACAACTTCACGCAAGCAGTCTGGGCTAAACTGGGGGGGATGAGGGCAGCGGCGGCTGAGGATCTTCCTACCTTGGAAGGTGTTTACGTGAGAACGAGCTGTGGTGATGTAAACCAGATGTGCCTGCCTTTCCGACTTCGGGGAGCAGTTCCGGACGCGTCTCGGGCGCCTTCACAGAACGATGACGGAGTGACGTACAATACAGCTTATGCGCAATGTGCTCGCCGTTCGGAGAAGACCAAGGGCGGTCCGAGAGGACTTGGTCACCGTGTTTGAGTCAGCAGCGAAGGTTGATTGATACCATTACGTTGTCGCGGGCGGCGTTTTTCTATTTTGGACAGGAGGAGCTCTTGTCCAACAGTGTCCAACGCAACCCTTCGCGACATCGTCCAACATCGCCTGGGATAGGAATCGACAAACAACAGCTTGACACAATCTTGGTTTTCCCACGTTTCATGGTTTTCCCACGCCTTCCCGCGGTTAAACCGGCAATTTTCAAGGTCCGCATAACCCCATTATCTCCCACGGTTCAGGTTCGATTGATGGGCGACTGCGACAATCTGCGGTCTATGTTCCACGTTGCATGTCCCTACTGAGTACACGTCAAAAATTGATTAGCGACTTATTGCTCGGTCCCAGTGGACTCCCGCACCCTGGCAGGGGGGCACCGTAGCCATCTACAGCAGGGCACATGGAGTGATTCTCGGGCCTACGATGCGCAGCAGAAGGGAGTGTTCGGCATCGGAAGCATTCTGGCTTGATACTCAACGTGTAAGTATCATCTAGTATCATCTGCTCACCTCGCTTTCGGCTCTCGAGAATTCCTGTCAATGATTTCTCACGATTTCATAATGACCACCGCCACTCGATCGTCAGCTCAATCTTATCTGATCACTTTCAAGAGAGATAGACGATGTGATCCCAGATGGGGTTCGATGGTCCGCCCCGGACCGATATGGCAAGCCTGTGTCGATCCCTTTCTGTCGTGAGACACCACATACCGAAAAGACAATCCAGCGAGAGAATGATGGAAGATCTCTCTTCTGTGATCAGCATGGTTTCGCTGGCCGGAAATGGGGAAATCAATCTGGGCAAGCTCTGGCAGCGCAAGAGACAGCCAATCCGAAAGTTCCTGGGACTGCCTTGAACTTCTGCTGCGGAGACGCAGTCGCCAAACAACGCTCGAACAGTTACTATCCGGTGTCCGTTTAGAAGCCGCGTGAAAATGACCTTGGTGCTTTATTGGCCAGCTGACCCGGCCCCAATGGTCTGCTATAGCCGCGTTGCCCATGGATATTGAATCCGCAGCCATGATTAGGAGACGACAGAGGGAACGCAGGGGCGGCTTCGAGGTGAAGATGCGATGGAAATGCTGGCAAAAAGTTGCTCGGACGCGGACAGGAACTCAAGAAAGATTGACAGCTATCAGATGGGCGGACCGGACAAAGCACGGGGACCCCAAAAGTCGCGGAGTGTCCGAACGGATAATAGATTTTCAGTGACATCCTCGTCTGCTCTGGACCGGGTCGTCTGGATTGGACGAATGCAAGGTGTGGGCAACCACAAGCATTCGGAAGCGTCACTCCCTCGAGAATCGAGATACACTTCCTGCTCCAACCATCAATGATGGCATCATGCCGTGGCGGGACAGCGATCAAATGACCGGAACAAGGTCCGGAAAGTGAGATTCTCCTCGCTAGCTACCCCCCGAAACAGAGATTCCAAATCGGTCCTTCGTTACGTCGGCGGTCGGGATCGTTGACCAATCCTCTCTTACCTCGCTTCTTCGTGTCTAGATCTACCTAACCGTGAACTGTTTATTTGTGTGCACCATCTTCGTCTCTACTACATAACACCTCGGGACCTGCCCCTCCTTTCTCCTCCCCTGCTTGTCCACTGTATCACAATCTCGCAGCCGCAGCCGCAGCGGCCCGGAGTTGATCGCGCGCATAAGCCTTAGGGACTCAAATGCCTGTTGACAAGTCGAAGCCTTCCTCTTCCAAATCGCATCTCAAACGCAAGGACCCCAATGGTTCAGAATACGTCTCCCAGAACATACCAGGCGCGAGTGGGTTGACGCATGCGAGAGAGCTGGAAGTCAAGCGGAGTCGCGGTGCGCTGTGTTTCACCTCTGGGCTTCCCCTGGCCTATCACTGACGTCCGCTCTTTCCTCCCCCGCCCGCAGGCGAGGTCAGTTGTGCTGAGTGCAGAAGGAAAGTTCTTGTGGCCCGCCCTTTCGTCCATGCGCACTTACCCCTTGCTCCCCGTATAGGCTGAAGATCAAGTGCGACAAGCAGATTCCCTGCCAGTCCTGCATCCGACGTGGCTGCGCGGCGCTGTGTCCGAACGGCGCACTGGCGACGGGCCAAGGCACGCGCTTCGTGCTCGCTGCGACCGAGCACCTGCACAGGAAGATCTCGCGCATGAGCGAGCGGATACGCTTGCTCGAGGACGCTCTGGGATCCCTGCATGCGGACACGGGCGGGCCGGATTCGGTCCATCCGCTGCTTCTCAAGAGCGAGGACTTCTCCTTGCCGGATGAACCACCGATGCGGCGACAGGGCTCTGAGGTCGATGACGGAGTTGGAGGGGAGGAGGGGAGCACGGGCTCGCAGACCAACGGAGAGGTCATCGACGCGTTCGGGACACTGAGCATCTCGGACTTTGGGATTTCAAGGTTTTTCGGGCCCACTGGTGGAAGTGAAGTGCGTATCCTTATCCGTGCATACTCTTTCTTTGGCTCACAGATGCATCAGAGTCTGCTGCTATCGAACACCACTCCGACTTCTGATTCTTCTGGGTCGCCTTCGTCTTATTTGTCTCGCAACTCGAAGTCGCGGTCCCCGGCTACAAGCCACACCTCCTCGCCTATCTCGCCGCCGACAGCTGGGCCGCCGAGCTCCACTTTTTCACCGGGGCACATCTCACGGCACTCACATTCCTCATCATCAGATTCTCCAACGCACTTCTGTCCGACGTCTTTCCCCCTTACTCCATTGGGCCCGTTGCCAGACATTCATGCACTAGTAACATCACATCTTCCCCGGCGACGATGCGCGATGGTTCTTGTCGATGCTTATCTTACCCAGCTAGGCTGGCTCTTTCATCTCGTCTCGGCAGAGCAGGCGCATGATACAGTACGAGCTGTCTATCGTGTTTTCCAGCCCGATGCCCGAGAAGCCCAGGACGAGAAACGGGACGAGGACGGGAGCGGCGAAGAAGACTACACGGGCCCACACGACATTGCGCTTCTGTTTTTGTTATTCGCCGTCGGGACACTGGTCTCTGCCCCAAATCCGGGCGAAGAGTCAGATGCCCACCAACAACGCATCAACGCCGAGTCGTTCCACATGCACCAGGTGGCCCGTGCTGCTTTGACCATGCAGTCGATATTGGAAAAGCCCAGCATCGTCACCGTCCAGGCGCTGCATTTGCTGAGCGTGTATATCTCGATTTCGACGAATGAGGAGGACGGCGACACGAGTATGGAGACGACCTGGAGTCTGGTCCGTATTGCGAGTCACTTGAGCCAGACAATCGGTCTACGTGAGCAGCCAGCCACCGATAGCTTACCGCAAGACCGTCTCTCATTTGCCTTTCCTAGATCGA